ACAATGCCATGAAAATCTAATTGTGATATTTTGTACTTGCTCATCTCTTACAGTGTGTTACTGACAAATGGCAGCAGCAAGAGGTCAGAGCAACAATCTGATTTTAAAAGGAACAGAGAAAAGGCATAAACTTGTTTCCAGTCATAGTAACACCTCCTTCCAGCAAATCACATGGGAAAGTGGAGAATTCACAGGTGGACCAAAGCTGGAGTCTGACTGCTGAGGCTGCCTGCTGACCGAGATGATCGAGTATGTAGCCACTTGCTTGGCTGCCTGCATTGTGTGTATGTTCATGAAACTCTGTACAAAACCTCTCATCATATATTAGGTAGATATTTCTCTTTTAAGAATTGGCTATTCATGTTTAACCCTGCCCACCAGGTGTTTTACTGTTATTGCCTTTATATGGTTGCCTGGTCTTTGCTGTCGTTCCCGAGTGGGTATGCTGCCACTTGCCCACTGCCTGACTAATCTCACCTCAGGAAACCTTCTATTTCTGTACTCTTCTCAAGTCATGTCCTTACTGGTCTGGTTTTCCTGCTGTGCAAAAGTTTTTATTAGTTTTATTAACAGAGTAAAAGCAAATTGTTTAAGTAGCAGCAAGCATCACAAGCATCTGTATTTCTACCAGTTATCTTCTGCCACTGGCACATGTACTCACATACACTTGTAACAGGCTTCACCCTTGGGAAATCAGATTTTCAACTTCTAGATTTGTTTTGTGCTTTGCTGATTTCAGCAGATCAGGTGAGGAGTGGGGAGCTAAGCTCGTCCTGTAAACACAAGTGGAAAAAAATCAGAGTTTAGAGCTAGCTGTGTGGTGTTGCAATTCGTTTGAGGGTTCCCAGGGAGTCCCTGGGGGCCCCTAAGCTGTGTGTTCACTGTGGCAGCAGCAGGCAGGGAGACTCCACACGGCTTCTGAGAGTGCTCATTAGACGAGGGTTTATTGGGGTCCCACCCCCAGGAGCAGCATTGTTCCTGAGGGAAAAGGGGGAAAGGGGAGTGTCCTGGGTTGACTATATGATGCTTTTATCCCCAATCGTCTCATTCTGCTTATGTTGAATAATAAGTTTTGTACCTTTAAGACTTGTTCCAGAGAGTGAAGGGGGGGAGAGAAGAAACGTGCAGCTTGTTTTCAGACACTGCACTCACTCCTCCACATTCCTGCTCCTGGACTGTGTTGTCTGTGGATGAACAGCCAGTGGGACAGAGCTCTTCTTTTGCTTTTTAGTTAGTTTTAGCTAGCTGAGGCAAAGAAGTTCCCTGGGCTGTTTTTTTTTCCTTTTCTTTGGACCTCTTGAAACTGCTCTGGACTGAACACCCAGGAGAGCACCGGCAGCTGCAGCTGTGGCCCACCAGGCCAGGCCTGGCCTGCGACAATTCCAGCGCTGGAGGGATTGATCAGAGACTGAGTGAGCTGAGCTTCAAGCCAGGGTTTTCTCAGTTTGTCATCTCTTTTAGAGTGGCAAGGGGTCTCACTGTTTGATATTGTTTTGGTTTTATTGTTTAATAAAGTTTTTTTCCACCTTTCTCCAAGGAGGTGTTTTTTCCTCCCAGACCAGTTGGGGGGAGGGGCCGATTGGATCTGCTTTTCCCACCGGAGCTCCTTTGGGGGATTCTTCCCCAAAGTTGCTCTGAACCTGGACAGGGAGAGAGGGAGAGCCTAGGGAGAAAAGGGCTGAGAGAGGCTGTGGTCTCCCTCACACAGCTTAACAGGGAGGTTTAAAGTGGGCACAGAATAAGCCTTGGGCCAATGGGGTTATGGATCCATGGTACTGCAGGGAAGGATCACAGGCTTGGAATAAACCGTGCATTTTTGAGAGGTGAGACAGAGCATACCATTTCAATAAAATGTAACTCACAAAGGCTGACCACCCGGTTCCACCGTGCCATCAGATCACCACCTGGAGAGGACTTCTGCAGAGTGACTTCGTGCACCTTCTTTCTCGGCCATGAGAAATGTCTGAAACATGGAACATCTTTGCAGGATTACGGAGACATCGAAACAGCAAGGCAGTTAGAAGAGTTCATCCTTCCTAGGCAAGAATAAACACGTTCTTGCGGGGAACACGTAATTCAAAAACTGTTGACTTCAGTGGGAGTTAATCTTCTAAATACGCCTACTTTCAGGGTGCCTTAAATACTTTCATGTACTTGTGCTTGTAGTATCCATGTGAAACAGGGAAGGGCACTAATCCAGTCTGTAAAGGTATTCAGAGGTATTTGTAAAGATGTACAAGCAATCCCCTTTGAACAAAGTGATTGCTAGGATTACACAGAAAGCTTGTGGGCAATTCAGGGAACTGGATTTTGTTTTCTGTGGTTTCAGGACCTCAAATACTAGACTGCTGTGATACTGCCTATCACACAAAAATAATTGTCAAAGTAATACATTAGTGCCAAATTTGAACATAAGTCTTCCTTTGCAAGAAAGATAATGGTACAGTTTATATCATAGTCAACAGGTTCAGTGGTTAAAGATCAGCTGAGGCTGTAAGTGCCAAGTTATTTTAAGGGGAAATGTCTATTCTGGCAAGCTGTGTTTCAAAAGATGCAGGAAGTTACAGAACAGCTGGTTCAGAAACAGAAAGTCAGCCCTAGAATGACTAAAGACCACACCTTTTTTTTTTTTTTCTACTTGGAAGATAACACCAAAATTAACTTCGTTGGTTGAAACGTGGTGCCAATAATGCTAAAGTTGTGAGTTTGATCCCAGCATGGGCCATTCACTTGAGAGGTAGACTTGATGATCCCTGTGGGTCCCTTCCAACTCAGAATATTTTGTGATTCTGTTCTGTACTATTGGGAGAAAAAAGCAGCAAGCTTTTTGAATTTTTATTCCCATAAAAGTGTATTCTGTGTTTCAGCAGAAAACGTCAATTAATTTACTTCTCAAGCCTGCAAAAATGTAGACACTTATCCTACAGTTTGAGATGTACTAACCACTGCTATGTCTTGACTCTTTTAATCCTGCTGTAATTTAAAACCAGATTCCTATTAATGACACTATTACGTATGAAGGCAATTGAATGAAGCAGCAGCACTTTTGACTGTGCTGAACTTTATGTTGCGGTGAAATCAGTTTTGTTATTCCCTGTTACCTTGCACAGTACTTGGCTCCTCAGGCACAGAGAATTATATAACTAAAGTAGAGCTGTGACTCCTGTAAAAAACCTGCAGTCCACAGAAAACATGCAGGAAATGCCTGCTGTGTCTACAGAGGAAATGTTTCCTAGAAGTGAATTATGTGTGGTATTATTATCTGTAGTATAAAGGATATCTATAGTAAAAGGAATAATTTTTCTTCTGCTGCTGGAACCTCATAATGTTGTTTCACATCCCTACCACTGTCTTGTGTATAATTCTCTCCACCCTGACATAAATGTTAGCTATCAGAATAAATATAGACACAAATACAAAATGGCTTGAAGTTTACTCACAAGAAAAATAAAAAGCATTGTCTGCAAAATGCTCTTAGTACACCAGTGGTGAGAGGGTGTAAATCAGTATTTCTTTATTATACTTATAACTTCCTTGGTCAGAGACAAGGAAGTTGAAAGAAGCTTCTTCACAACTCAGTGCTTCTGGTGCTCACGTGACATTGTGCTTCCTTGCACTGGTATTTTTTTGTATTTTATGTAACTGCAGAGACAGGAGAGAGCCACTCCAGCCAACATGCTGGTTACCATGGCCCAGTTTCACCCTCCCCCTGTGCTCATGCCACTGCCCACCTCCTGGAGGAGTGCATTGGAACACAGCAGGAGTGGCTGCTCCTGGCTGGGCACAGCCCAGCAGGGCCTGGAGCAGCCCCTGGCACACACTGCACTGCCAGCAGCCCGATTTTGGTGACACGCAGCTTTACCTCCCAAGGAGCTGCACAGCTGTCAGCAGTGCACAGTCCCCTCTCAGACTGTCCCAAAGGCTGCACCTGTAAGGGAGCAGCAGCATCCCTCCAGCATCCATGGACTCCTGATCCTGCAGACAACAGGGATGAGATGAAAGCCCTGCCCTGTCACCTTTCCACTTCAATAACTTGATGCATGGACAGCTTCAGACTCCCTCCAGCATGCCAGGAAGGCAAAGGTAAGGCATGAAAGCAGCAGTCAGGGTGTGCCAACAGTGCAGATTATAACAAGACAGGCAGGACACAGAAAAATTCCAGTCTGGGATTATGGTAATAAGAAAGAAACTTCTCCCCAGCAATTCAGGCAGTTCACTGAATATTGTGCATTGCACTAAGCACAATGCCTAGAAACTATGTATTACAATACTGAGTGCTGCAGTCCTGAATGTTGCAGGACATGGATCCCATGGAGCCCTGTCAGAAGCGCAGAATTTTGCCGCCATGTGGTGACCAGCAACTCTCTGCAGGAAGCAGACAGGAGAATAAAACAGACCACATCAGAGCATCTTGTGAGTTGCCAAAAGAATACACGTGCTTGAAAACAAGAACTTGTTTTGAAAAACACATTCTTGTTCACAAGAGCAAGATAAGTTGGAAAACACCTTGTCTTGTTTTTGAAACTTTTTGTTTCTGTCAGCATTTCAAATGTGGCCATTAGATACCATATCCATGATCTTTCCAGAGAAACCTGAAGAGGCAAAAAGCCTTGCTTTCCTCTTGAGCTTCTGCATCTCCACAAAGGTGAAGTCATAGAGAAACGATGTGACAGTCTTCTGGTTTCCTGAAACTCACACCTTGACCGTGCAAGGAAGTCTCTGTGGGTGAACTGTGAATTTTTGACCTGATGAAGTTTTCCCATACTGTGGTGTTACATTTTATTTAAATGGTGTGTTCTGTCTCCCCCTCGAAAATGCATGGTTTATTCCAAACCTGTGATCCTTCCCTGCAGTACCATGGATCTGTAATCCCATTGGCCTAAGGCTTATTCTGCACCCACTTTGAACCTCCCTGTTAAGCTTTGTGGGGGAGGCCACAGAGTCTCTCTTGGCCCTTTTCTCCCTAGGCTCTCCCTCTCTTCCCCTCCCTCCCTTCTCCCTCGGGTATGGCAGCCTGAGAGCTGGGACTCTAGAAATATAACAACAAGATGTGATAGAAGATAGGACAGCCGAGAGCGGCAGCAGCCTGAGAGCTGTGAAGAAACATGGCCTTTGAATTGAGGAGCTGTGACAGCCAGGAGCTGTGAGAAACATGGCCTTTCAGTCATGGGGACATGTATGTATTGTTCTTGAATATCTATATTGTATTTGAATATCTGTTAGTAAAAGAAAAGGGGGAAATATAGTAGGAGTCCTAGTAAAATATATGTATTGTATAAGTGGGCCTTGCCCCAATCTTAGTTGTTCTAAATGGGCTGCAGCTGTGATGTCCTTCATTGGGTGGCAGCTGTGGCTAGTGAAGATAACTGGGATAAAAGGGGGTAGGCTGGCTGGTCAGGGAGAGCCTTGGAGGAGTCTTGATGAAGGAGCAGGAACAACAGAGTTGTGTGTGGGCAAACCACCCAGAAGGTATGGGACTCTAGAAATATGATAACAACACTCAGGAGCCACTCAGGATGAGTTGGAGCTCTCTGGCACTAAGACTGATTCTTGGGATTCCATAGGTGGAAAGGCTTTATAATTCCATGCTTGAGGAGCTTATTCACTGCCACAGTTCTACAGTTCTGTTAATTCTTTTCTCTGCATGCCCCTTTTCCTCTGAAAATGTCATGTTTTAGGACACAGCCTTTTTTTTCCCCAAAGTATCAGTGATATAGGAAAGATTATTCAACTGAATCATTCATGGATTCTTGGTTTTGGTTGTTTTTTTTGTTTTGTTTTTTTTTTTTTTTTTAACAGAGAGTTTTCCAACTGGCTGAAAGCTCAGAGGTTGGTGGCCTCCAAATGCATATCTGCAGCTGTGTGGGATGAGGGTTTCCAGCTCTGCTTTCAGACAGGGAAGCATCTCTCCATGCTAAGATGTGTAAATGACTTCACAGCTCCACATACTGTGGTTGGAAATATTGGAAGGATCCAGTGATGATATCTTGCTTGTGTATTTTCTCAGTTTCCTTGTCCCTGGTCTGGGGCTGAGGACCCCAGACTTCTCTCTGCTCCTCAAGCAGAGGAAAGAGCTCAGCATAGCAGCTGGTGGTCACAGCTGTGATTAAGGCATTGCATTACTCCTGTTTTGCCACAACATGTCAGTATAACCCCATACATGGTTCAGCCACGCTTCTTTTTATAGTTCCTTGGTTTGTTTGGAAAACATTGCCTTGGGATTTGGGATTTAGCTGTTTTCTTTTCAGCTTAAATTTGTTTTCCAATCTGTGAAGAAACAGCTGCATGCACTGACTAGAAATGTATCTCTTCTGAGAAAAGTAATACAGACTTGTTTCAGGAATAAATCCCTCCCTTTTTATACTTTTCTTTTAAAAAGGAGAGTTCAAGTATTCATCAAAGGCGCAGTTCTGAAATGTACTTTTCCATTGGCTTGGCTCTGGCCAAGCTAGGTATATTTATCAATGAAAAATGAAATTGCACCCTATGACTGTGGTTTGATTTTTTTTAACTTGGAGTTTTTAAATTGGGATTTTCTTTACAAAGTAATTCTGATTTTTCTGTAGTAGTGAAATATTCACATCTGGTGTTCACATTGCCTGAAATAAAAAAAATTAATTAATAACAATTTTCCTGATGTCCTTTTGTGGGTATAACAATTAGCACAATGGTTCTTCATTGTCATCCTGTTTGTGTGTTTAAAAGTAAGTACTTCTGAGGAGTCTGGTCTTCAGACCATGGCTAAAATGCTGTCCCTAATCAAGTGAACAGATGACATGTACCATTGTGTGAAGTTAGCCGTTGGACTATGAAAGCTGGCTCTGATTTTGGCACAGCCTGTAGCAAGCAGGGAGTCTGTCCCCGCTTCTGCTTCACAGCCTCTCCAAATAGCTGTGATACCACCCCAGACCCATTATGCCCAGTACCACTCACCAGTACCTGCTCAGAGCTTGCCTAAAACCATGAGTGATTTGCTTTGTGAGGGTTAAATACACAGCCTCCTGATCCATGACAGTAAATACAAAATGGCCAAGAGAGAATAGTAAACCTCTCACTTTTTTCTCCAACTTTGCCACTAGCAAAGTGAAAGTAGTTTGGGGGAATTCTGTCTTCTCCAAATCCCAAGGATGCCCTAGGACTTGAACCCACTGGACCAGCCTCCTTCTCTTGTTGAGTTTGTCCATGCTGTTCTCCAGATAAATGCTTTAAGGCTGGAAGGACATAATCTGCAAAGGTCTATGTAGGTGCCTCAAAACTTGCTTCTACTTACATTAGGAATATTACATTAATACAGTATGTTTAATAATGTAAGCAGCCAGTTTCACTGCTCTGTTTTGCCTGCTTGTAGTTGCTACGTTCATAACGTGGGTGTAATGTCTTCCAGTATCCTCTTTTGGCCTGCTGTTTGTGTCACTTCAGTCTTCAGCTTGCTCAAGTCTTGAAATTCATTAGAAATACTAGCACTGGTGTTTGGATAGTAAACATGAAACAGATGTTTTTAATCTTGACTTTTTGTGGGAGTACACCATGTTCTGCACTGCTCACCAGCTGAAATGAAGTGCAGGGTGGGAGTTAATACTCAGTTTGCTGCCCCTAAACCTCAGTGAGCTCTTTGGACCCTCATGCTTACACAGCGGGAATTTCTTGAGTGTTTTTTTTTCTTTTCTAGCCAGCACAGCAAGGAAACCTGATGTTGTGAAGTGTAGCTTGTGAAACTTGCACAGGAGCAGGAGCAGAGCCCCTAGAGCAGGGAACAGGCCTAACCCAAGGCAGAGGAGGGAGACTCCTTGTTCTCTTGCCACTGTAATGCTGGTCTGTCAGTCTCTGTTGGTGAAATCACAGGGCCTCTTGTCATTTATAAGCTGAGAGTGACTGGAACAACCTTGGCTCCTGAAGTAAGGCTGATGAGTGTGCAGAGCAATGTCTTCTTTTTGCCTCCTGCCTCGGATTACGTGGGTATGCTGCACTCCAGGCAGGATTGTTGAATATTATGTATTGAATTATACTGCCTTCAGAGAAATAGCACCTCACTAAAAGCACTCCCAAAGGTCACTGATTGCAGTATGAGCTCTGACTGGATGTGTTAGATAAAGATTGATCAGAGCTGTCAAGGACAACTTTCATTCCTGTCCTACTCCAGGAAATTTAAACATGTAATTGTAAATCTCACAGTCTGGAAAATTAAGGACACAAGGGGTTTTTTCCCACAGAGAAGAGAATATTATTTTATTTTTTTCACTCAGAAAACAAAATACTGTCAATGATATTTTAATAAGTGGTATTTTTTCCTCTCAGCAAAATTCCAGTTTTTCATTAGAAATATTTTTCTGGAAGAGTTTCTGTTGATACTCTCCACATGCAGGGCAGGGGCTTATAGAAAATCAGCTGAAGCTTCTATGCTCTTCTTCTTCTTGCCCTCCCCTGTTTGGCTTATTTCCCCACCTTAAACTGGCTATCCTTGGACCTTGAGAGGTTGTGTTTCTTGCCACAGGTCATCAGGTGTTGGTAACACCAATGCATGGCTCTTCTGTTTGGTCAGATTGATGGCTTCACTCTGAAATGTTCCTTTTCCTACTTTATCTGGAAGTAGTAGAATCTTTTTTTTGTTGTAATGGTCAGTCATGGTAAAAAACATGAACAACCTAATGTTCTTTTGGATGACTGATGGTAACTTGAGTTGGTTCTTTCAGCTGTCTTTAATATACAGCAGGTATAATAATTAGGGAAAGTCCTAGCAGGCTTTCCTCCAAGGCATGACAAACACTGTGTTTGCACTGAAAGGATCACACAGCTGCAGTAGCTCTTGCTTGTTTGTGCCTCTGGTTCTTTTTTGAGGTCATGGCACAGCTGGTAGAGCAAGGAAGCCTAGGACTGGAACATTCAGAGTAACTCATTTCACTACATCTCCCAGATGGATTTCCTACTTCTGGGCATGATCTGCTCAGCTCTTCCCACTGCTTGGGCTTGACCCCAGCTTCTTGTGGTTTAAAATCCTAGGCACTCAAAGTACACTGCACTTTATATCACTGCGTCTCCTGTTAGTTCAGGGAATCTGTTTTTCTGTGGCAAATACCAGTGAGGAACAAAAATTGGCAAGAAATAATGTCCTTGTGTGCCCAGGGATGGCACAGTGATACATCTTGTGCAGCTGAGAGGATTTTACTACTTATTTAGTAAGTTTCTGCGCTTTAGGCATAAATTTTCATGAATGGAGAAATATTTCATTGAGCTTCAAGAAAGTATTCAGAATGAATGTAATAAAAAGAAGTACCAAACTGGGAACTCAGTCAGTTTCTGAAGTCTCCTCGTGTTCATTTTCCAGAGTTTCACTCATCTTACTCCATTTTCCACAAGATATTCCAGTTCAAATTTAAAAGTGATCATTCAAATATAAATGTAATTATTTAAAGGCAAAGACAACGTCCTTGGCACTAGAAAGGCTACTGTGCCCAAGGTACCCTGCAATTCCAGTGTGCATATTGGCATAATCTCATCTGTGTTTCATCCCCATGACCAGGTTTTCTCCTCAGATTTCTTAATGTAACCCTACAAATCAAATACACATGACTTCAGGGTCCAGCTTATACCTGGTAAATATCCCATTAGTACATTACAGCAGTATTTCACTGACTGGAGTAGAGCTTCAGTCATTCAAGCACAGATGTTGTGTGCATGACTTCAGCTGCCACCCCCAGGACATGGGGATCTAATGCAGATCCCTCACTGCATCTGCCAACCACACAGGAATTCCTCTCTCTGGCTTTAGAAATCTTCTCTCTAGTGGCTTTTCTCCCTCCAAGGTTGCTGCTGAAATAGCTAAAGTGGTCTCTCTGATCAGAACACATCTATGTTGTGTCCTTATAGGTGTATCTTCTCCTTGACTATGGACACACATGAAAGAGTTTTGCTCCATAGAAGTACAGGTCTCCTTTTCAATGGCAGAAACTGCTTAATGTCTGTGTTATTCATCAAATTACTTTGCTCCTATTTTGTATGCTTATTGAAATACACATTTCTGCTCTAATGCTGCTTCCCAGCCCCTGCCTAGGTGCACTTTGTCTTCTTTCCTTTTCTGTCTTTTCCAGCAGTTTCTTCACGAGGTTTGTGTCTCTGAGTCTCATTCCACTAGGACATGATTTCACAGACCCTCTGGAAGTGTTTAGGTTTGATTTAACACAGACAATGCTGTTGTTTTTTGTTTTGTTGATATCTTTTAGGAGCTTTATTCTTCCAAATATAAGAATTTATATTAAGAAGTTAGCCTAGAAACAAGACCTTAGCCCTGTAAAAATCATGTTCTTGTCAGCTATTCAACAAACCCAGTGTCACCTAACAAGCAATGTTAAAAATACTCCCCCTGTTGTAAAAAATGAAAAACAAGATCTTTCTTGGAAAATGGTATGATTTGTGATTTCCTACACCCCAAAAAGAAAAAAGTATTAGAAAGACATTGCCTGAAATAAATAAATTAAATCAACAACAATTTTCCTGGTGCTCTTTTGTAGATATAGCAATTAGCACAATGGCTCTTCATTGTCATCCTGTTCCTGTGTTTAAAAGTAAGGACACTTCTGAAGAGTCTGGTCCTCTGTGATACTTCTGGGCTGCATTTTTTCATTATGAAGGACCAGGGCCCTGATGCCTTCGAAAAGAGCGAACTGTTTAAAAATTTAAGACTGTCTTCAGTATTTACCTCAGATCATGGAACTTTTCCAGATATTTCTTTCCTTGTAAGCATCAGGACTCAAGCTTCCTATTTTTCCACCTCCTAAGCCAAAATTCTGGTAGCAATGACTCCTTTAACTGGGTTTTCAGTGGAATAAACACATAACACAATAAAACAACCAGTGACTTCATAATTTGGGGAATTACATTTAAAAGGGTTTTTTTTTTCCTTTGGAAACCTTTTACAAAAGATTCTGAAAACAAGTTGCAAAGGAGACTGTAACTTTCCTGATCATGAACATCAGTGTCATTTGTTTCCCTTCCCTTCTCTCCAGAAAGTACCCTTGTTTTGTGTCCTGTGTCCTTTGTCACAAACTACTTTTCAGGAGTTTGAGATTTCTTTTTTTTTTTTTTTTTATTTTTACAGACAGGTTTTACAGATGAGTATCCTTGTAGCAAACATTGGAAGCCAGAGAACAGAGAAATCCCCACCTATTTATGATTAATTCCCAGCAGTCTGGAATAGTTCCTAATGTCTAACAGATCTGTGGCAAAAGCCAAATGTCATTTCACAACAGAGCCCCACCCTGGGCCACAAAGTGGTTCTCAGCTGAGATCAAGTGTGTAAGCCCCAGGTCCACATCTGATTAAAGCAGATGCATGGGAGGTGTGAATGGGACTGGCCAGATGCTGCACCATATGATAAACACCAAGGGCCATGGCACCCTATAAAACTGGCTATTTATATGGTACAGCTGGCTGTGCATAATCTTCTCCTAATTTATAAGGCTGGAGCATCTGGTTCATTGCTGTTGCTCTGTCAGCTTTTCTGGAGGCTTGTTCTTGAATTTCTGGTGGCTGAATATTGCTCTTCTGAGTGCCAGTGGAATGGGAAGTTAAATCCATTTATAGCAGGAGATTAGCTCTTATTCTCTCTGGCAGATCAGATATGTTCAAACAAAGTCATGAAAGACAGAAGGGTAGGCCCTTGCGGGATGGGTTCCACTTCACTGCAAAATCCACAACTGCAAACTCTAAAGGAGTAATATCTATTTCTCAGTGGCAGGACCCTCAGATAAGGCCATTGTGACAGGCTGTGGCAGTCACTGCAGACATCCCTCAGTAATGTGGCCGCTGAGAGTTCGCAGAATTGGTCTCAAGTCCTGCTTTTCTTACTGCTTGATCTTTCCCTCCCAGTGCCATGGCCCTAGAAGTCAGCATTTCTCTCTTTCCTGAAACAGAAACTGGCACTTGGCACTTAGTTAGAAAATACCTATTGTGTAAGTGACTAAAAAACAAGAGATAAATGTTCTCAGCTGGGTCTTGAAAACTTTTTGCAAGGAGGAGCCAAGCCAACATTGTGAAAGCATCCTGAACTGAATGGTGTGCACATGCACAGACCCTGTGCAGCTCTGTGCCAGCCTGGGCAGTTCCAGAGGTGTGGACCCACAGCAGATGCTTTGCTTGTGCCAGGACGAGAAAGAGAAAGAAGGGCTAGAACTCATTCCTCCAGGTATTTCCAAACTGATCTGTCAGCAGGGAAGTCCCAGTTACAGTTAAGAGAACTCTTTCTCCATTCCACCCTTGTGGAATCGTAAACAGCAGTGCAGCATGCAGTCTAAGGCACAATAAGTTGGTTTTTGAAGTTACAGCATTACCAAGTCTATCTAGAAGCTGTGTGCAGATCACTCAGCCTTAGGGGAGGAAAAAATACAGCACCCGTCATTCTATCAAACCCTTCTCCAGTAAAATTGCATATCAGAGCAGCGCTGAAAGAAAATTTGCATTTCAAATGGAAAGGGAAAATATGCTTTTGCAGAACATCATGGGGTTGGCAGTAATAAATCATGGTACTGTCAGAATGGAAGTGGGTTCCTGCAACTCTTGCACTGCTTTCTGTAACCTCTGTTGTTGCTGAGGAAGTGAAATCTGGTTAGCCCACAACTTAGCACACAACTGTGTGCAAGACTTCTTCAGATCTTTTATTGCTTTTCCCAGCATTCATGCTTCACGTTTTTCATAATTTTATCAAATTGAGAAAATTTCAGGTTTCAAATGTCTTCACAGACCCTTAACATGGCAGCTGCTCTATTTCTAGCCAGGTCTGAATTCTTCAGGTACACCTATGGCTCTACCTCTTCTTTTTTCTCTCTCTCTCTCTTTTTTTTTTTTTTTTAATGTTCTCCATAAAACAAACAACTTCTCTATAAAAGCTTTATCCTCTGCATCTGACATAGGTACAGTATCTGGAATTGCCACAATCTGTTCTCTGATAAAGCTTTATCTTTGTTTAATGGTGGCGACATGAGCTGCCTGCCCTAAGGAAGTAAATGAATTTCAGAAAGAACTTCAATTACTACAGATACTGTTTTCAGGCTGTGATAACCCACTGCTGAAATGACAGATAGACTATTTCTTAATTGTTTGCCTGGACAGTTTTTCTGGACAATGCAAGGCAGCAGGATCTCACACTTGTCTTGGCACCAGGTGTTGCACAGAGATTTAAAGGCTTGCCTCTCAAAAAAGTCTTACCTAAGTAAAGAAACTGTGGGATATGAGTGGGCAAAGCAACTGGAAGAACTGAGAGAGGAGCAAAAAGGGAAATGTGGTCAAAGAAACCTGTGGTTTTATGGAATAGATGTGGGGATATAGCTGGATGTCTGCAAACCTAGTTGTTCAAAGATATCATGTATTATAATCAGGTGTGGAAGTATTTATTATGTAACAATCTCTTTCATTCTCTTAAAGGCAAGAGTGACCAGCATTAACTTTCTTAAACACAGCCTATTCCAAAATGCCTACTGCCATCATCCTGAAGCAGCTCTCAGCTCTGATGCCTCCAGGGGAGGTGCTAGTAACAGACCATGAAAAATGCTTTGAATTTGGCTTCAGAGAACTCAATGTCTGTTACTTACACTGAATTGATCCACCTTTGTGTACTTGAATTAAGGGAAGGTGGATAGTGATTATGTAGCTAGGACCTCCATTTTTCCCAGTGCTTTCTTCACCCTTTTGTGTCTGGGCCACTCTCACCTCCTCTAATTTAGTCTGCAATTACAGAATATAGTTAAGTACCAAGATTCTCATTACTTACAGACCTTGCAGATCTGCAAAAGCTATTTCACCTCTCCCTTCTGGCGTGGCTTAGTGAGTCGCTACCCAGACCTTGCCCAAGCAATTTTTTCCCTTGTATAATTAAGGGCTAAAATAATCAGAAAACCCAGGTCATGGTCAGCATTCAGTCACCATTTATTGTGAAATGGCTTAAATAGAGGTCACAGAACACAGAATTAGGTCTGAAGGGGACCTCTGGAAATCATGAAGTCCATCCCCCCTGTCCAGGCAGGGCTACCTAGGGGTGACACAGGAACGTGTCCAAGTGGGTTAGAATGTCTCCAGAGAGGAAAATTCCATGACCTCCTTGGGCAGCCTGTTCCAGTGCTCTGCCACCCTCAATGTAAGGAAGCTTTCCCTCCTGCTGAGGTGAAAGTTCTTGTGTTTTAGCCTATGGCCTTTGCTCCTCATCCTGTCACTGGGCACCACTGACAACAGTCTGGCACCATCCTCTGGGAACCCACCTTTGAGATATTTACATGCATTAATGAGATCCCTTCTGTTTTCTCTCCTCTAAACTATCAGACTCAACCCCCACAAATACTTCTTACAAAAGAGATGCTCCAGAGCCCCCATCATCTTTGTGGTTCCCCACTGGGCCCTCTCCAGTCACGTCTTTCTTGTACTGAGGAGCCCAGAAATGGACACAGCACTCCAGATGTGCCCTCCCTAGGTCAGGACCTTCTCCCTTGACCTGCTGGCCACACTATTCCCAATGCACCCTGGGATCCACTGGCCCTGCTGGCCACAAGGGCAGGGCCAGCTCATGGGCATCCACCAACACTCCCAGGTTCTTCTCTGCCAAGCTGCTCTCCAGGAGGTCTGTCCCCAGCCTGTGCTGTCACTTGGGGTTTTTCCTCCCCATCTGCAGGGCCCTACACTTGGCCTTGATGAACTCATTCAGTTTCTGTCCACCCAATTTTCCAGCCTATCAAGGTCCCACTGAATGGCAGCACAGCCTTCTGGTTTATCAGCCACTCCCCACAGTTCTGTTTCAAACTTGCTGAGGGTCTCTTTCCTTTAACTGTCTGTCACTGAATGGAAGAGAGGATCTTTCCTGTTTTAGTTCACATTAATCCCTGACTAATCACATACTGGTTTCACTGTCAGAAATACTTTGTTGAGGGTCCTACAAAGGCACTCTGAGCATGGAATTACTCCTGCATTGCACATTTCTTATTTTAAAGGAAGGACACCTTTTTAATTTTCAGTTGTGATCATGTAGAAAACATAAAATATCTGAAACTTCTATTTTATAGATAGTATTTTAATTTCAAGATGTAAAATACAAAACCCCTAGAAGCAATCTTAAGGATATTTCCACAAAGACTTTTTTAATGGTTTCATTTTTATATTGCAAGTCTGTTACCTTGGAAAATACAAATATATACCATCATGAATTGTAATATGGGACGTACAAAGACTCCTTCATGTAGCATAAAAGGATTGTGATCAAATAATCAAATAATTTAATGCAGCAAAGGTTAGTTTAAAAAGTATCCAAGTATGTATTCCAGACATAGACAGCAGATGTTGATTTACAGCTGGACCTGTGGTGGAAGGCATCTTCTGCCATTATCCCTGTAATGGGGAAGAGAAAGAGAATTGCTGCCGGCATGTGCATTTAAGCTTGGTGGTATTAAACTGAACTGACATTCAACACATGCCCTTCACCTGCATCTGTCCTGTCCCTCTGCAAGTTGTTTGGAAGTCCAGCTCTAACTAGCTCTTTACAGTACAGGGCAGGCAAGGAAAAAATGCAGGAAAGTCCCCTAGGAAGTGCCTCCCTCCTTAGCCTAAACCCACTGAACAAAACTCGAGAGACACCAATGATATGTATCATATTATGCAGAAGAAAGGAGAACTTCTATGGTTTTAGGGTACAGAACTGAGAACAGAAGCCCAGGTTAAAACTGACACTTTTCCAGTTTTCCTCTGGTACCCCAAATCTGAGCTTGCTAAGGCCAATTCCAATGAAGTCAAGTTTGGGCTAGGTCTTTGTACTCTTTGTGCCTTTGTACCTGCAAGGCAGGATTGATAGCAAATCTTTTGGCTAGGCACATGACATGTGACAATGGCCTAGTGATTGATGTAAGTAAAAAAACCAGATTTTTCATATCAGCTAGTGGAGATAATTCTTGCATTTTGGCCCGTGAGAACTCATGACATTTGATAACTGATTTCTTTTTAAAAACACTACACTAAAGAGTGTCCATGAAAAGGGGACAGGCTCATTTTAGCTATTCCATCAGATTAATTCCTGAGCAGAAAAGGCTGGCAGAGATTGCAGGAGAATTGCATGTTAATAAACTTGGAGGTCACTCATTTTTCTAGTTAATTATTACTTGACAGAAATGCATTTATGAAAGCCATGCTACGTATAACTATTTAACAATACTATGTACAGCTGCTTAAAGAAAGGGAAGAAGCAGATATTTCTGAGGCCAGTGCCAGCATGCAAATAATTATCTATCCCATTCCTATAATCATCTTGGCCTTATCATTCTTACCTCGTGTGCATCTGAGATTATGTAAGTATTCCAGCTAATATTGTCATGTGGGATGGCAGTTTCTATGCCACAGTTTTTTCTCTACTTTTGGAGAATATCTGTCTTTGGCGAGGGGAAAGATCTTGACTTCCAGAGTCATCTCCAGTTTCAGACAGTGACTTACCTGTCTCAGAGGTGCAGCCCTGTCACTGCAGCACGGTACATTGCCTGCTGCTGTAGGCGCTGCTGTGGTCCAGCACAGGCATGTACATTTTAGCCACGATGCAGTAGCTGACTCCAGGCCTTAAATCTTCTATTTTAATAACCTTGTCTTTCCCTTCATACACCAGGACCCTGTGTTGCTTCATACAGAGAAAGAAGAGTCAGTCAAGCAGGTTTCCCTAGCAAGTGTGTCTGAGAGTAAAGTTCAATGAGAACAGAGGATGGAGAACAGAACATGAACTTACACAAACTCAACAGCATTAATAACTTATTTATGCTTTTAAAAGAAAATCCCCTTCCCCCTCCCCCCCCCAGATTCCTCTCCAGTACCAATTTTTTAAACTAGGTCATGGATTATGAAGTATTAAGTTGATGGAAAATAATACAGGGAGGAATTACAAATCAATTCAATCAAATTCAATTCCTGAAAGATAAGCCTACTTGGTTTTCAAACACTTGCACAGTCATTGCTGCTCTCACAATCCCAGAAGACTCAACAGCAAAACAAATATGGTGTGCCCACACTTTTCTGGCTATTCAATGGTAAAGGGTTTATATCTGAATATACTCTTACCTCATCTAGCAAGTTGTTAATTATGAAGACTTGATACAGCAGATCATAATAGTTTGTCATTGGTATTTTGCTGCCTCTCTTCCTTCTATAAGGAGAACGTGGAGCCTGGAGCTTTACTGTTATGGATTTGTTGCTATGAACCACAGTGACCATTGGAGGTCCTATCATAGCTATGGAAAAAAACCCAAAGCTATAAACACAATTATAGGTTATGAATAATATTTCCAAGAATGCAATTTGAATCCTTTCAACAAATGCTCATGTTACCAACAATATATTATGGTGTACTTATTCCTCAAGTGACACTTTGTAAATTCTTGCTTCTTGGTGCTATTGGGTTTGGTTATTGTTATTTTGGAGGTGACATTTCCTGTGTTTGTAAATCTATCTTTGAGCCAAGCTTTTTGAAATTCCTTAGAGCTGATGTAGCTATGTGTTGACTGGTCAAGAAAAATTCCAAAATTGCCCCGATTTTCTTTTTCCCTCGTATTTGTTTTTGTGCTTTCTGCACAAAACATCCATTTAAACCATTTCAGCTGTGCCAAGGATGCAGTTTATGTCATCACTTTCAAATATTTTGGAATCAGCTTGGTTAAACACAGCTAAGGCTTGAAGCCTATGCCTGCATAGATGTGTGTGGAGAACCAGCAGAGTCGGAACATGGGGCAGCAGCTGCCACACTAATCCCTCCAAGAGGAGGAGGAGGTGGCACAGGGCAAGATGTTCTGGTTTTGCTGCAAGGTACTTTATGTCAAAGCTTATGGTTTCATCCGTGCAGGAGGCTCAAGGTAATTTGCACTTTGAGGCTGTGGAGTGACCCACACTGGCAATTTCATTTTGCATTGGCCAGTGAGGGAAAACAGGTTAATTCATGGTGAACTTACTGGTAGGTAGATTGCTATTGTTCATTGTGGGCAGTCCTCCATTTCTAACATACTGTGGCACTGTAATGACACTACTAACCAAAAGCTTTGCACGTGTCCTTTCTATGTCCTTTCCTGCAGTTGGGATAACACATAAATGTAAGAATAGTGGCCACACACCACACAGCTCTGTTCTCTCTTCTCCCCCCAAAGAAAAAATGCTTCCTTTTTATTGTCTTGAGTCCTGTCTTTCCAGCAGCTCCAAAAATGCCTGAAAATTATTTGTGTACTTTCATGCCCAGAGGAAGAGATTGAATTAAAGGGATTTTTTGATCTTCTAATTACTGGTAAATGGCTATTTAGCCATAATCGCTTGGCTTTCAAGTGTGTGGAGAACTACTCTGGCACAACAGTTCACCTGAGAGCTATTACTCACTTCTTTACACACAGCTTTGTGGCCAGAAAAGGACAACTCATGTTTGCAAGTTGTGAGCAGAAATGGTGTGTTCCATGCCATGGAAGACCAAACTCCTTCCAGGAAAGTGTTTGCACTTACTTTCTCTCCAAGGAGTGAATCTGCAGCTGAGGCTCCAGCTGGAATAGACACCAGCCAGGGCTGCCCTCACTCTGCTGTAGTAAGGCTCCTGGATGTCAGAGGTCTCATGTGTTAGGTCACAGACATGGCTTGAAATCCCCCAGCACTCGTCTTTGTTTTGCCACGTGCTCTGCCCATACCTATGGAGAAAGAGGAGGAAGGATGTAAACTTTAGGGATCACTGCCTGTGTCCATGCAGATTCTCAGCCATCTGTTTTACTCTTGTGGCACTGACAAGCACCCTGCCATGGAAATTAACTGCCTTCAGTTTGATAACAGGGAAGGTTGATTTCATGGGTGCTTGGGAGCTACAGGTTTCTGTCTCTTCTGAAAGAAATCTAAAGCAGAGACAGGGTCACCAGCCCTGTCAGAAGCCGCCTCTTATCTGCCCCATGGGAGAGGTGGGCAAGCTGTGGCTCAGCCAGTGTGTTCACTGGTGGGCAGAATGCTGGATTTCACTAAACTGTTCCTCAAGGGCAATAATCATTTCAGGCACTCACCAGTGTGCCAGGGGTGGGAGCAGACCCTGGAGACCAGCCCCTAATGTTCCCTCAATCTTTCCTAGCAAGGCACCCTGAGACAGTTCTGTGGGCAAGGTAGGCCACTGAGATACATTTAATGTTCTATTACAGAATAACTTGGCCTCCCCGGACCTGCTTGAGGCAGGTGGCTGGACCCAGTGGCTTTCAGACATCCCCTGCAAACTACATTTTCCTTCAAATCCTTGGTGCAATGAGGGTGCAGAGCATGGTGCTTACTCCTTGCCGGCCTTGTGCTTCTTGACTGCTCCTTATGGGATTGGTAAGTGCAGAAACAACTGAGAGCTGGCAGCCAAGCAGGACATGGCTGCTGCCCAGGAATGAGAACCTCCTGCCACCTGAGAAATCATTTTATGCCCAGCAGGGCTGAGCCCCAGCCCAGTGGGAGGCGCTGGTACTTACACTTTGTACTGCACAAAGTAGAGCGCATCTCTGGCCTCTCTGGCCCACCCAGGCTGCCAATGCAAAGTGGTGTTGAAATTTAACGAATGGAACTCTACCTTCTGTGGCTTAATCGAATCTTGCAGGTCTTGGTTTCCCAAAACTAAAAGCGCTGCAGATAAGAAGGAAAGGTAACATAAGGGGTTTGTCACAGACACGCTCCTCCATGCTGGAATCAGAGGGTATTGCTACAGACCATGTTGCTTCATGACTAGCAGACCACAGGGAAATTAAATCTCCTGGACCTCACATTCTAAACTTTCCAAGTCACGAAGTCAAGCAGTTGCAAAAGAAAGACATTTAGAACTATGAAAGGAATACTTTTATGTGGTTTGAGTGTTTGAGGTGGGAGTTTTTGTGTTTGTTTTGGGTTTGTTTGTTCATTCATTGTTGTTTTGTTTTTCTTTTTTTTTTCTTTTATGTTGGTTTATTGGTATATTTTTCCTTAGTGAGTTTGCTGCTGTGAAAGATGCCTGATGATCATCTCAGGAAACAAACCCTTCAGATCTCTTCACAGAGTCTGAAGTGAGCATCCCCATCAATACTTAAAAGTCAAGTGCTCTTTCCTGCTTTACTCCACAGCTCAGCTTTAACCTGAAGAGAGTATAGCTCTTTTAACTGTTACCACAGTCATGTTTACCAGCTCCTGCCTAATAAACAACCACCTGAAATTCACTTCTTTTCTTGTCTGTAGCACTGGAAAAGCTGTCTGACAGTTTTCAAGATCATCTATTTTCAAGCTGCTATATTACTTATAACAGGTTCAGTTAACAACCTCTCTGAATCATTCAAACCCTAACATTTTTGTGGGTTTTGCAACCCAGATGACAGCAGCTTTTAATCTGCCAGAGCACAGAATCAGATAAGACTTGTACTGGCTGAACTAAAACTGGTAATACAGCCATGAAAAAATATAATGACTAACACGTTCATTTTATCTGCATTTCAGAACCTGGAATGATAAAATAACAAACTAATTTGAAAGTGACTACCTTTTGAGACCCACCAAAAGATACAGAGATTTCTTGACTCATCCAAAAAATTCAATAACAAGCCCTGTCCTCCCACTCCCCCTTCCCTTCCCACATAGGAAAATAGCAAAAAGCCCTTACTTACAAGTTGTCTCATCCTGAAGCAGGTGCATCAGTAAGCAGAGGAAGGAAAGCATGATCCTCCTCATGCTTAGGAGAGCAGCTCCATGACTGAAAAGCACCTCTCTTCCTCTTGGACATGTCCTATGAGGAAGTAATTGTTAAGCACTCCAGAGTTCCCCTTATTTTCAGTGGTTTCCAAATTCCCCGGTTTGGCTTTGGTTTAATTTAACTGCAAAACATATGAGTAGCTCTAAATTAAATATGAGCAATTGTTCTTTCTTGGCAGCTGTGGTCATGCAGAGTTTGGAACTAATTATGAAAAAGGTCCTTTTTTTAACACACTAATTCCCAGACGATGTCTGCCAAAATTGCTTTACCCCATAAATTTATCACAGAAGTTTTCTTGCTTGCCATGCTAAGATTTTTAATATTTTATTTATTTATTTATTTTTATTTATTTATTTACTTTCAGCTCACTGGTTGCTCAGAGCTGAAGAACACAAGAAATTTTGCTCTGAAGATATAAAAGACCTACCCATGGGATGCGCTTTGGGTTTGGTGGACTGCCTCTGGGCCAAAAGCAAGAGCTGGAGTTTGCAGGTGTGCTGGTGGCAGGACATCATCTAGGGGGCTCTCACTGGAGGAATGAGGGGCTGTGAAATCACTTCTGGCTGTTGAACAGCATGTTCATCCCATGCTGGCTGCCGGGGAGATGCTGGGATGCTGGGGAAATTGCAGGACTGACAGCCTCCAGACTGGAATTAGGAAGATAAGCCCAGCCCACAGGGCAAAGTGCCACTCTGGGTTGGACTTTCAGACTGCTGGGAATCGTATGCCCCAACTGGTGCAGGTGTGCTGCACACTGCCTGCACAAATATTGGCATTTGTCGGTGTTATCCTCGGCATCCTGCCTGCCCAATGTGTCCAACCCTACAAACTTGACCCCAGGGCTGGGAATGCTGGGGCTCTCCGTTGAAAAACATCTCACTGTGTTCTTGCAAGTGCTTTAATGCAGTCTGCCGGGTGGGAGAGGAGTTTTGTGCTCCTGGGATGTGTGGAAATCTCAGACAATTCTGTTGCTGGTGGGGAACGCCGTGCTGCTGCCTAGGCTTGCCCCTCTCTCTTCCCTCCCCGAAAGCTCCTCGATGCTGACACCCACTGGTACCTCACTGCTCATGCATTAGTGCAACTAAGCAAAAGTCAGGATGCTTTCTCTTTCTGCAAACTCATGATGATAAGCAGGAGGAGAAAAATGCTAATTTTGTAAGACTTAGCACAGCCCTGTGTAACAGCTTTCACAAAAGGAGTAATGGATGTGAAGACTACCTGTCCACTAACAAATAATTGTCATGAAATCATCTTTGCTTTGGGAAAACGTGGAAACAGAAGACTTGTCAGGTCAAAAAAAGTGCAAGTTCTGGTTCAAATGAACTTATTTAAAGGCCACCAGTTATATTGAACAAACTGAGCAACATCTAGTCAAGAAGCTGATTTTGGTCAGATAGATGGGCACAGGGTCTCAGTGCAGCTGATCACCTATATCTCATTATACTAGCACCAAACCTGCCCCATATATAGTAGAATGCTAACTGTGTAGCTTTGAATAATGAATTAGTCAAACCAAATAAGGGAATTAAAGAACTGAGAAAAAATAAAGAAGAAAAACCCCACCAAAATGCAGGCAGGAGTCAGAAATTCTATCTCCAACTGCAGATTTTTTTTAAAAATTAATAGTTTATTTACTTTAAATAGTTCCCCACGCCAAATTCAATTAATATTTCATCATGTTATATGAGCTCAAGTACGGGAATAGGGAACTTTTACAAACCAATCACTGAAAAGTCATCAGCGTTTAGTCACAGGTCATGTATTTATTTACTCAAATTGTACACACCTTCCCATATCCCAAGAAGCAGCCCATTGCCAGGAGCTGAAGTGTGGACCTTTGTCAAAGTTCCTTTTGATGGTGGTTCCTCCTAGGAAAGCAGAGCTGAGGGCCAGCCTGCCAGCACCAGCGGGTTTTGCTCGGAAAGGGCTGCTGTGTGCTGTGGTGAGAGAAATGCCTGTCACATGGGTGCTGGAAAACACCCAGCGTTTCCTGCGCACGGCACTGCGATAGAGCCTTATCTGCAGCTGGGCTGTGCTCTGCACATATCGCTGACTCCTCACACACTTTCTGCTGTCATTGGAACAGCCGCTGTGGCAATAGCCGCCTATTGGCACCTGTGCTACTCATCGGCCTCGGTCGCTGCTTCAGGGCTTTGTGGGGTACAAATCAGCACAGCCACAAGGAGCAGCTGCACACGCACACACACACGTGTGCAGACATGTACACGTATGTCTGGAGTCTCGTAGAATACCTATATAGTGTATATACAGTGTATCTGCAGTGTATATAGCACATTTCAAAATGTACACTATCAGTGACACAGGATGATGCATGCTGCAATGCTGTTTAAAATACGAGAACTTCTATAAACAATATTAAGGCTACTCTGAACAGTACTTTATGAAGAAACGGAAAGTTGAAGTGTATTACTTAGCCAAGGAGAATCCACATAAGTACTACCTTATCCACATAAGTGCTACCTTATCCTAGCTTGCACTGCAGCATCTTTCTGATCCAAACCATTGTGAAACAGCAGAACTGATATTTTTGTGACCCAACATAAAAAACCATGGGTATGAGAATTTTTTCCATTGCTGGACTAGAAACCTCTCTGAATGCTGTGTAAACAGCTTGCTTTCTCTTGAGGATGCATTATTGCTACACAGAGGTAAAAGTCAAGTATTTTTGCTGAAAGCTGCTTGACTCATCTCATTTGAAAGGACCACCTCCTTGTTACTCTTTTTTATTCTTGTGCCCTTGAAAGAGTTGCTTCCCATACATAAGAGGGGGAAATGTAACCCTGAAACTGCTACTGCAGCACAACCTTTGGTTTTTCAGATGCGAGTCTGACATTTGCAGTGGATGTCAGGGTGGATTTTGCTTACATGCCTGAGGATGTGGGAGGATGAAGAAAGCATACCCAAAACATACAGGGAATACTTCTAGTAACTGCCAGAGGCAAGGCAATTCTCTCTCATGTGTGGCATTTCACACAAAAATAAAAAAATGTGAGCGGTTCATGTTACTCCAAAGACTATTTGCAATTGGAGACACAGTTTTCAGTCTTTTCTAAACAGCCAGTGTGGACTCAGAGGAAAACCTGTCTTGGGAGAGGACTCTGGAGGTCATCCTGTCCAGCCTCAGCACAGGGATAGCAACAATTTTATCCCACAGTTAACCACCTTTGACATGAATTTCCTCCTGCAAATCCTAGTGGGATTCCTCTGCTGCAATTTATGACAGATGCTTTCTGTGCTTTTACTTCAGATAAAAGTCTGCCATTTCTGCGGATGCTACAGTTTGCTGTAGTTGGCAATGAGATTTCTCCTGAGTGCCACCCCTCCTGGCTGAAGGGATCCAGCTCCCTCAGCTTCTTCTGGTGTGTCACATGCAACAGGACAGCCCTTTGCCAGCTCAGTGGGGACTGGAAAGTGAATTACTACACTGCATACAAAAATTAAAATGAAAGCAAAGAAAACCCCCACAGGCACGCAGGAGGGACTTTTTGGATCTTTCTTCCCTTCTCTGTAGGGAAGAGACATTGCATCACACGAGTTCTTACAGAGAAGTTTCTGAGGAAGCAACGCAGACTTTCACTGCACAGTGTGTGCCTTCCCTGCTTCCTGCACACAAACCTCATCCTCACAGTTAAACAGCTTGGGCCAACACTTTAAATATTGCAGTTAAAAATTCCAATGCTGTAGCTGCATCTACATAGGGAGACTTTGGACCATAATAAAGATGAAGATCTTCTGAAGGCTCAAAAGTAGTGAGTCATCATTTGCATATGCAGTATTTATTTAACCATGGGCAACACACTGAACTGACCGGGAAGTTAGTAACCAACACTAACATTCATTAGGAACTGAAATTAATACAAACCCCAAGATAGCTCCAAGTCTTTCATTTAAATGACAAGTTCCCTTAAAATTGTCTGGTTTTCTCACTTGAAAAGCCATATAATTATATTTTTTCCACCACTAAGGAGTGCTGTAGCTTGTTTAAGCCCATTAAGACACACATTTTAGGTGGTGGATCCCTCACCAAATCATCTGCAGACAAAATCTACCAACTTGGAGACGTGAAATTAATATTCCAGAATTTGTTGGTTTTTCTTAGGTAATCTTCATAGCACAGTAAAGCTGCCAAGTGCTCACTCAGCCAACAGAACCCACAGATAAAACTGCAGAGGTACAGCACAAGCATTGCTCATGCTTTCTTGGTCCACCTACTAAAGTAAAGAAAGGCTCAGTTCTGGTAGTGCCAATGCTCTCTGACACACTGCCACCAGAGGCAACTAATATATTGGTAGAATATGACCCACACACTGATTCTTTTATTTTTTCATTTTAATTTTTTTTTTTTTTGGCAGGGAGTGGTTTGAAGCCTCTGCATCTAATCACCAAGTCCAGACCACACTGGGCTGACTCAGCACATGGCACAAGAAGGGCAAGGGGTTGGCAGGCTTGCACTTGGGAAAAGATGCAGAACTGGGATGTCTGCCCTCATATTCGTCATCAAAAATTGGGCTGAAGAAGGAGCAAACACTTCTGGTAGCTACTTTGGACAATAAAACCTGGAAAGATGCAAGTTCCAGGGGTTTCCCTGGCCAAGGGAAAAAAGAAATACAAGGAAGAAAAAAGAGAATCTGCCTTTCACTCATCTCTTCTGCAAGGAGAAATTTGCAAGCATCACACTTTCTAGCCTGTGGCTTAGTTTTGTCATTGTTTTTTGAATTCTCAGTATCATTCTCCATCATCCAAGAAATGCAAACTCCAGACCAAGAAGTCCATTCTTACAATGATCTTTACCACCACCATCTCCAAATACCAACTGTATTTGTACGTACACTGTTTTACAAGCCTTTTTTGTTTTCCTTAATAAATACAGTGTTGCAGACCTTGTGTGGATAGTCCCTAAGCATTCAGGAATCAGTGTTCTGAGCTTTTCAGGACAGGACCCTTCACACCTAACTGGTTTTCACACTTCTCAGAGGTGTTAGTTTCAAGTCTACTGCAACATGACTGTTTAACCAATAAGATCACTCTGTGATTCTTGAAGACAAAAAAGCTTTGTTCCATATTCATCTTAAATGAAGTTTGGTGTATCTCTCTGTTTGGTAGTTTTGCTGCATACTCTGAAGCAATTGAAAAATTAATTCTTTGTAATTTGCCATCCAAATTCACAGTCGTTTATTCCAATTTCTAGTCAGATTTGGGGGGTGAGTACGAATTAGTACTGTATTAAAAGCTGGTACAAGGCCAGACTGATACTTGAGATGAAGCCACATGGCATAGATGCTCTCTACCTCCTTGCCATCACTGCCCTCTAGCCACTCAGACAAGCTTTTGCAACCCTTCCTTCCTTGCTGTGATTTATCTCACACTTGATCACATTTGCAGCAGGTTAGCAGAGGCCTCAACTCTCCCAAACCTGGTAGCAGAAAGCACACAACAGTACATACAGTTCCTGTCTTCTGGAATGGAACTGCACATGCCCTCCACCCTTCCTGCTATTAACTGAGCTGCTATAAACTTAGATGTGCCACAAAACATAACACAACACAGTCGTGCCCAGAAAGAAAACATAGTGTATTTATTTTTGTTCTTTTCGCTCTGTATTTTCAGTCTGAAAGGATTGTATTTACTCTTTTTTGAAAGGGCATTTTTGAAGGGATGTTGAGTCTTCGAGTTTGTTTTTCAAGTGATGTTGGCATAGAAAAAAAAAAGCTGTATCAGTCAATACTTTTACTGCTGCACTGTGAACATTGCAAGGATGTGACAACTGCAGGATTAATTTTGCAGGACACATAGCAACCTGGCAGGCAGAACCTCTTGGTTTGCCTGCTCATTGTTTGCTCTGCTTGTAATGCTTTTCCTCTTTCAAGCTGCGGCTAGGCAGCAGAAATTAAAACATCACACAAATAAGATTTCTGTGATCTTTAAACTTCTAATGAACAGTAGGAAGTTCCAAGGAAGATCAGCTTTCCTCTCTGTAGCAATTAATCCATTCAAATGGTTTGACCATTTAATCCTTTTCCATAATTTTAAAATAGAACAGAAGGAAGCAGCCCCAGGCAGAAACAGTAGGGCTGGACTTAAGTTACTAAAGGCTGCACCATACAGCATCAAAGGGCAAAAGAGAAACTGCAATGCTGAGGATGATGATGGTCAGTAGGATCCAGGAACTGCTGCACACATCCACACACAGATGGGCCACACACATCTCCCCCAAACAGTATTTTGGTTCTCAATAAAGCTCAAGCAAAGACCACGTACGTAACATGAACTGAGAGAGCTTCAAAAGCACATTTAGGCTTCAGAACAAAAGCTAACAGTCATAAAGAGGCAAGGACACACATTTTTCTTCTTAGATTTTTTTTATTTATATATAAAAATGGTTCAACTGTACACTATTTACAGGACTTTCATTACAGATTTCAGCCCAATGATTGCATCCATTTAAAGAATCTAGAAAGAGTATTAATAAACAAGAACTTCATAGTTAAGGGACTGAACTATAAAAAAAACACACTAAAGGAATCTACACAGGTCACCTTTTCCTAAGATAAAAGGTGCTTTGTATTTGGTTTGTCATTTTGGTTGTATGTTTTTAATATGTGCTGAAACTATTAATCTGAGCCAAGTACAACATCTCTTACTTACTCGACTGTTTACATGGAACCACTTCAGAGCAACTGGCTATTCCTAATAACCTGAGAAAAACAGATATTCTCATACAAGTTTCTTTTTTTGCAATCTCCTATGAAGGATAAAAAAAAAAATAAAAGTATGTGCATCTGTTCCAGGCAACTGTCTTGTTTGCACAGATGTCAGTATATTTGACAATTTTTTTTTAAACTAATTATTGACTTATGTGGAAAACCACACAAAAGCAGATTTGATGTTTCTGTGCCAGTGCACAGTACTGCCATAATACTTCATTGTTAACTGCACATCTAATAATAAAAATTACAATATCCACTCAAGAACAAGAACTAAAGAAGTTCTTAAAAATGTTGGCAGGTATGAGGCCAAAGTTTTGGAAGTTCTCTTTCACAGGGGAGTCTTACCTCATCACCCAAATCACCTTGAAGTGAGAGAAAGGGAGGAGTGCTGAGGAGCCAGGACAAGAGTAAAAATCAGCTGAAAAAGTTTGAAGTGGCAAAACCTTCTATGTGTGTCACACTGGATAGCTGATAGCCCTATAAAAGGCATTAATATTACATTATTTTTAATGTATAAATGTTAGGCACTTTCATATTCTGGATCAAGGTGCAATGTATGAATATTAAGCTCAAGCAAACTACTTAATCACAAGAATATTAATCAATTAAGCAAACTCAATTAGGTGAAAATGTATAGATAAATACTACCTGACAGGTTACAAATGACATTGCTCAAATATTTTGTGTAACAGAACTTGCAAAAGCAAAGCTAACCAGCTGTAGCTGAAAAGGCATTTCCATTCCCAAGAAGTCCTCACACTGCAAGCTGCTGGATTGCAGCCAGATTAGCACCATGACTTGCCCTACTCTTAGGCTTTCAATATCACTACTGGCACCTGCTAAAAACAGGACTGGTGGTAACAGAGCTTACTGACCCAGAAACACATCTTGTCTCACTGTGGCCTCACATTTTCAGCTAGTCAAAGCAAGTAAAAGAATCCTGTGCTTTGTGCACCCTTAAACTTCTTTATTTCACAATCAGAAAAGCTCTAAGCTGGCCTGAGCAATTTAAACATCTAAACTATCCCTGTGCCACTAGGTAAGTATGAAGCACACAGAAGACAGATTGCACAGATGGTGCTAGTTCAGTGGCTTCTATATTTACAGCTCAGAAATTTTGATTTAAAAGTATATTTAACCTTGTTTTATTTCAAGAGCAGATCTGTTGTATATATATGTGATATAGTACAAAGCACTCACACTGCTGTTATTGATTCTCAGCTTCTAAAATAACACCACCTTTCCAATACATGTGACTATCTGCCATGACAATTTTTTCCCCTATGTTATGATATATTTTTGAGTCATTTCTTATTGATCTTAACAATGATGTTCTTAATGATAGCCTAGCTCCTGGCTGGGTCCTTACTCACACACGACTTCATGGGATTTGAAAGATTCAGAAGAATGTACAATGTAGCTGCATTGCAGGGGCAAGAGACAAGAACCTGAGATAGTGACTTGGTTTTAAGATGTGTCTATCTGCATTCCTCTCCCATTGTGTCAGCAAAGGAAAATCTTCCAGAACAATGAAACACTTAGCTCACACAAAACTAAGATGCTAAGTCTTAGTTCTAACAGCAACAGGGTTTCCTGATGAACTGCTAAGAATGTAAACGTAGTTTTTAAAAAAAATAACATGCTTCTGACAGAATCTTGGGTTTGTGGCAGATACATCAAATCCAACAACTGCCAGAGCTAATTCCTGACCTCTTTTTTTGACAAAACTGACAGAAGGAAAACAAGCTACCAAGTGCAAGGTTAAATACTCTGAGCAGTTGCAAAGAAAATACTCAGCAAATTGTCTGGTCAGAAACTTGTTCCCAAAAACAAGACTAACTTTACAGTTTCTAATGTTCTCTTTATCCCTTCAGAGCCAAGTTTAACTTAAGCACTTCTCTGACATTTATGAATTCCTGAGGTATTTACTGCAATTCATATTCATCAATAAACCTCCAAACTCAGAAAGAAATTACATCAACTCCCATCTCTGCACAAGACACAGCTGCTCATCTACTTTGTAGACAGCCTGCTAGGAGCTTCAGTGATGAACAGCATCACTACCTGGAAAGTCAGTTTAACTGAAGTTTCAAGTGCAATTAATGCTGATTTTCAAAAAGCCTTCTCATAACACCAAAAGTGTTATTTTCTGTACCTCTGCCATGGTGGTACACACTAGTGCATCTGAGCAGTAAGTCACTAAGCACTGCCTTCTAGGAACACAACCCAGAACATGATATTGAAAAAGTTGCTAAGGGGTCTCATTATGTTTGAATATAATGCAGGACCAAATCACAGCCAGTTAACAATTACTAATTGGGCTTTCCATTACATCATAATTACAAAATTCACCTGCTTGATTTGGCTTTTCCTAAAATTATCAAAACCCTGGTAACCCATCTGTTATCCTTCCTCTGAAGTAGTGATGGGAAAAATAGCTATTGTCTTTAAATCTTTTGTACCATTGTGGTCAATATCTGATATAGACAAGAACAGAGGCACTCCTGAAACAGCTGTATAAACTAACTTCACCTTAACAATACTCATGTCACTGAGAAACGTAAGGACAGAAGTACGGTGACACTGGTTTCCCTTTAAAACCACCTGCTGTAACAGGCTAACAATTCTGACCATCCTATAGAAATGTCTTTTAAAACAAACCCACAATTTTGTGTAAATGGGTAATGTGTAAAACTTGTACCCGTAAAGTGTTCTTTTTTCCTGAACTAAACTTCATTAAAAATTGCTATAAATATTTCCTACAAATAGAAAATACCTATTGAATCTTGATTAAAGGGAAATAATTGGATTGCATGAATTTCAATATGAAAAAAAAATATAAAATTCTTATTACTCAGTTTTCAAAACTACAACTCTATGATACAAAATTCAGAAGGCTGTCAGATGAAAATAAAACTTACGAAGTACAACTTAATCACACTATTTTTCTGTCATATTGAGACATATTTTTAGAGGGTGATTTTACGTAGTTCCTGAGTTATGTTATTGAAACAGGGGAAATGGCAGTGATTTTCATCCTGCTAGAAAAAATACTTGGAAGGAGTTCCATTCACTTCTATTTAGAGAACATATTGTTCTAAAAATTAGGATGGAAGTGTCCCAGAAGAAACCAGGCTTTTGAATTTTGAGGACATTTTCTAAAGAATTTGTGCAACCACTCATTAGATATTTTTTTCTCAGTGATGATCAGTCAGCTTGCTAATACATTCTGCCAGAATGTGAGAGGGTTATTCACACCACTAGGTGATCCAAATGGGTGCTGCTGTACTGAAGTCAACAGCAAAGACTACAGATTCACAGAATTGTTAGAGTTGGGAGGAACCTCTGGAAATCCACCCTCCTGGCAAGGCAGGGTCACCCTGAGCAGCTGACACAGGAATGAGTTCAGGTGGGTGCTGAATGTCCTCAGAAAGGGAGACTCTGTGATCTCCTTGGGGAGCCCCTTCCAATGCTTTGGCACCCACCCTCAATGCAAAGAAGATCTTCCTCACGTTGAGGTGAACTTCTTGTGTTCTTAGTTTATGGCCATTACTTCTTACTTCTTTGACATGGAATCAAATTCTTAAGATACCCAGGAAGAGCTTATAGGCATAATCTTATTTAAAAGAAATAAGAGCACTTAATATAAAAATACTCTTCAAAAGAAGAAGATAAGCAAGAGGATACCTCCAGTAATAGTAAAAACTCTCAAATATTTCTTGCACATGTCTATCATAATCAAGTGAAGTATTTCCTAAGCATTATGTTCATTGAACTAATTTTGAACAAGATTTGAAGCAGAAGTGTATAATGGTAGAGATGCTGTTTTATAGTTGATGGTATGTTTTCTATAGAGTACTGTTAAAAAACACAGCTCTATTCCCAATAGGAAATAATGAGTTATATAATATATAAACGCATTTTAAAAAGTGGTTATTATGAAATTTCCCCACACATCTTATGCCATTTTCAGGTACTACTTTCAATTGTGCACTGATCAGAACAAGTACAACTTGTAGATGCTCACAATTTAACCCAGACTTTCCACAGGTTTTAGTAATGCTGTTCTTTCTGAGTTGTGGTAAAGCACTTCAGCACTTCATCCTGGCTACTCAGTTGGCCTGTAAGCATTCACAGGCTGCTCTTCACCAACATCTATCATCAGCATATCCAATGGAACATGAGGCTTGTCATAGCCAGAAAACTTGAAGCAGCTGCTTGGAACCACTGTTTGCTGTGTTTCTGTGGTAGCAATCTCTGACCCTGAAGACTTACTGCAAATATCCATTTGGCTACTGTTAGAAATGAAGTAACTCTCTTTTCCTCCACAATTCTGTTCATCAGCATCAAAAGAGACCTCCTCTGTGCTTTCCTGCACAGGCACCTCTTCTGCTTTGGCTGGTGCCTCTGGGGAAGGGACAGAAGATTCTCCATCACAGGAACTGACAGGACTAACAGTTTGTTCTTTTGGCTCTATCACCAGCAAGGTTACTTCACCATTCACTGGCAACTCCGAGTGGGCTGATATCACAGACATATACTTCCCCTCTGATCTTGGTCCCATTAGGGCACCCGTGTTCAGGTTTCTCATCACACTGACCTAAATGGGAAAAAAAAAACCAAACAACTTTGAGTTTGAAAGTTGGAAAAATATGTAAGTTGATAATAACAAATTTAACATCACTATTACCAATTCTAAAACAAAAATGCAAAATTAAAATCTGGCACAATCACTGGCCTATGTCCATGAGTTCAACTGTTCCAGTAACACTTGTATGCAAGATCTCAAAAATGCTTACTTTGGGCAAGCATATTTGCAAGGATCAAATCCATTTCATGTCACCCACTACCTTGTGAAGTTTCCAACATAGAGGAAAGCAGCAAAACAAAACCACAATGTAATACTCTTCAGCTGGGGAAACCTTTCATACTTTATAGCTAATGAGTGCAACTCAGTGCCTGTGATAATTTCTGGCACCTGTCCCAGCCAGGAGGGAAGTCAACAACACACCCAGTAACTGCTTCTATGCTGAAATCTCTCAGCTTACTTCACAGAGCCACTAAGCAGTCCCTCAATGCTGCAACAAACTTTCATGTTTCACTTTGAAATCCCTCCACAAGTTGATCGTATGAATTCTTTCAATGGCCAGGCCCCACCTTGTTTTAAACAATTACAGTATGCCTTCAGGCTGCTTAGATTCTTTAGATTTTTTTTTAATGTCTTTTCAAGAGTGCATACAAATGAAAAACAAAGTAGGGTAAATTTTTAGCTATTTGATGGTGTTCCCTAAAGATAGCAGAACACCTAGGGAGAAAGAGTTAATAGTGTCCTTTCATAAATTTTGTAATTCACTATGTATGTGTATCACACAATATCAAGTATTACAGATCCATTAATTTCTTAATGAAAATACACAATCATTTTTTTTTCAGATACTTTGTAAAAAATAATCTGCCTGAAAATTCTGATGGAGGCAAATTTGGAAGAAAGAGATGTGTACAGGAGAAGGAAAGACAAAGTAAAATAACATTAAGAAAAACTACAAACAGGCACAAAGAACCTCCCAGTCTGTACAAATGTAAGAACTGAGAGGGCCATCAAAACCAGATGATCCAATCTGACTTTGCTTTTCAAGAATCTTTGATTAAAAGGTTGTGAGACTGTAGCTTTACATTCCTACCTTCAGAGCACGCTGACTTCAACAGAACCTGCTTTCATCTCTCACTTCAGTCTGATTACCTTACCCCTCAGCAGCCCTGATACCTGTTGATGTTACTCTGTGGCTAAGGCTGGATCAATAAAAGCATCACAATTTAAGAAAACCAACCAGCCAAACACCACCACCACAAGTCAAGCAAACAGTCCCTGAAGAGCAGTTACTGGTCATCTAAGTCACCTTTACAAACAGCTGTGTGAACATCACTAAGGTGAGGCAATCCCCCAGGGAATTAAGGGTTGCCACTGGAAAGTGGATTCAGGTGGCTCCTGACACACTACAGCTAGCTGCCACTCAACCATCAGTGTCTCTGGATCTTCATTTTCTGTTATGGAAATAGAATACTATATAAAGAATATTCAGAGTAAATTTCCATGAGAATTCATGGAAACCACTCATTCATAAGAAGCAGATAAAAGTTAGTTGCAAGTAACAGATTACAATCAATATTGGGTAGATACTGAAAATGTTAAGAACACCATAAAGGATTAATACACTTTTTGAGAATCTCTTTATACAAGTATATTGGATATATACCCAGAATATTGGGTACTCATGCTATACAACACTGATCTTGAAGGAACCAGCATCTATAGTTTTTTGGGGTGGGAGTTAGCAAACATCTGACTCTAATAATCACACAGCAAGTGACAAGGGAATTCTCTGTGTAAGGTGGAATACTTGAGGAATGTGAATTACAAGAAAGTATTACAGAAACCATAGTCAAAAGCTGCATTTTCAGCTTTCCATCTCTCCCCATACCAGTACAGGCTAAACAGAAGTTAAAGACAAAACCCAGTGAGTTCTTGTTTCTGTCCTTTTAGGATTTTCACACAGCTTTAAAAAAATCACAATCCTAAAATGGGTTAAAGGATCACCTTGCATTCTACACAGGTCCAGCATTCACAGTGAGCACTGGCAATACTTTGAGACTGGGGATAAAACACATATTCTCTGAACAAGAACATCCAAGACTTCTCAGAAAGGAAACCCATTGTTCTCTTGACAAGTTTCTGACCAAGGCAAGATGGTACAAAGACACTCCTATTCCCATTCATGAAAGAAGGAAGCGATCAGAAGAAAAAAGTCCCATGTGTTTCCTGGTATCAAAGGTTTTCTAAAAGCCACTGAGTCATAACTACAAGACAACTTAGCAACTCATGCAGTTGTTTCTAGCTTCAAAGATAAGAATCAGTTTATTACAGTAACTGAATGCTTATTACAGTAACATTCAAAAGATCTTATGCAACAAGGGTAATTATGATACGGTTGCTATTTGAAGAAAATTATTTACTATAGGTGAGTTAATATTTTTCTTTTATTCACATTACCTAGCAAACTGACAGCCAGTGATGGGTATCAGCAGCATTTCCTGGCATGTGCAGGTACTCACATAACTTCCCGTCTCCAATAACAGGACCTGAGCTTTCAGGGCTTTCACCGTCTCAACAGACTACTGAGACACACTGCTGAAAGGCAGGCTCAAGGACACAGATAAATAACACATCCCAAGGAATCCATAACAGCTAAGGTAATTACTAATTCTTTCTTAACTTCCTTGTCTAATGATGTGCCCACCTATGAGTTCCAAGTAATTTTCAGGTGGACATTTAACGAAGGAGAATTTAAGAACTCCATTACAAATCTTATTAGGATGATGGCAAAAATCTTTGTGGTCTTTGCATGGTTCCACAAAACATGAATGCTATGTAACTTTATAAAGAGAAGACTATGTTACTGCCCCCCTATAGATGCTCACAGGGGAAAAAAAAGTTTTCACTAAAGCAATGAAGCAGCTTCTGTCTTCTAACATGACAATTATTTGTGGCCAGTGTCAGTCAATATTTACAGGAACAATAAGTTTCTCCACATCAAAAATGTATGTTGTATAACCAAAGAACAAAGCCTTGTCATTCCTGTCAGAACCAGAAAAACCACCAGCAGAAAACAGAAAAGAAGGTTTAAGTAAGACTCAACTTTCACTTTTCTCTTGAGAGTAAATGTTTTCTACTCCCAAAAATATCTGCCACCATTCAAATACAAAAGACACTGAAGAAAAAGGGAAGTTAAAGCAGAGAGAGATGCCCACAGCACGTCAGAAAATTATGGTTAGGGTCCTTTAAAAGTAGGTATGCCCTTATCATAAATCTTAGAACAAAAAGCTAGTATAGTAACAGCTACAGGACAAATTGCAATGGGTGACAATGGGTGGAAAGAGACAGCTTCCTGCAATACTTTTTATGAGATAAATAAAAGGGAGTTTTAACTACAGCTGAACTGCTGAAAGATCAGATTCCCTTGATCCAGGTAGAAGACTAACATGACATCTTGTAAAGGAATCTGTCCCACTTCACATATGCATAGCTCTGGTAGGATCCTACTGTTTATCACGACATTTAAACACTTAAACAAACATGTTTTCTGATGAAGACAATCAATCATTGCCTGTATCAAATGACAGCTGCACTGTGGAAGTAGGACCAAGACATGACTGATAAGCAATTCCTGGGAGTCACAAACAGCATAAAAAATACAGTATAAAAGCTCTGGAGCTCTAACTGGCAATGGAATTTTTTTTCTTTTCTCTGACTATGTAAGACTTGCAAAGGTAGCTGCTCGATGGTTACTCTTTCTCATTTTCCCTTCTGTTGGAAAACTCCAAATTGCTGGAAGTCACTCAAATGATGTTTTAGCATCTACTTAAAGGTGCCAGGAAGGAGATCACAGAAAATTAGCAGTCCTAAGGTAGGAAATCTTGCACAGCCCTTTAACAGATGGAAGAACTCCCTAGATGTTTTATTTTCAGACAAGCTCAGGAAAGGCACAATGATGATAACCTGTACAGAAAGAAATGCCTAGCACATATTCAAAGGTCAGTAACAGGCTCCAAGTGCCATTAGGCCTATAAAGATAATGTCATATAATTAAACTTATAATTCATATTAATTAAATTATTTGCTCATTACTTCAAATGATTAACCATAAAATAATTATGCTTGTTATTAATTGCTCATTTTACAATCCCACAGTATTCACATCACCTATACTGAAACTACCTCTATGAGCTCTACAACTTATATTCGTCATTAGAGTCTTCATTGGAAATGGACAGAAATACAGAATACCCTGTTTTGGAAGGAACCAACAAGAATTGGTGGCTAGTTCTTGACTCCAGCCAGGGCAACCTAAGAGTTAAACCACACATCTCAGAGCATGGGCCAAATGCTTCTTGAATAGTATTTGGACAGTGACCACTTCCCAGGGGAGCTGTCTCAGTGCCTGATCACCTAGCTAACAATATTTATAAACAGTTAAAGGCTTTATTCAGCTCCTTAGCAATAAAATGTGATGTAGCATGTGAATCATACTGTGATAGTGGAACCTAGGAACCACAAAGTAACATCTAGCCCAGTAAAACGACAATATGGGCACACACGAGTTTCTGCAAGGTGAACTCAATGAAGTTGGACCATGCATCAGGAGGCTCACAGGTGTTAAGGAGCACACATTCTATTTGTGATATTCTGCTTCCTAATCCTTTAAATCAGATATCACAGTGCTACTGGAAACTCAAAATAAGAATGGATCCGTTGAGTACAGCACTGGATCCATTGATCACAGCACTGTAATCCTGCATGAGCCATCTTTTGCTCATGAATGGCCTTTACAGAAATTACTGTTGCATGTACATAGGACACAAAGTTACATATTCAAAGAACACCCTGGTGTGAACGTGCCAAAAAAAGTCTCCAGTGTTTGCTTTGATATTGGGGCCTAGCTGGAGATGTCAGAGAGGTTTCCCTCATCTGATTTTTTAAAGCCTACAGTGTGAATGGCTACCTCCAAACTATTCCCCTGGCTTCATCACAATCAGTACAAACAGGAATTTTAGAAAGCATTTTGTCTGACCAGAAGTGCATATAATTTCAGAACAAGATGAATCATCTTGACCTGCACAAGCTGGTGGACTAGATCACCGCTTTACTACAAAGGAACCACCTCTGGCTTGGCATCTCCACTTAGAGCAATCTCGCCTCCTGATATTCTATTCCAAAGAACACAAATTCCAGAGGAATCTTGGGCATTCACTATGGAGATGTCATTTTAAAGGGTTTTGAAACTGAACACCAGACAATGGAATCGAACATTATTGTCTACTCTCTATAAATGAGACTTCCTCCATCCATTGAGAAGATATCCTTGCTGTGATTTCTGTTTACTACTCTGTTTACTGCCTCAGGTGGCAGCTCTTTGAAGTTGTGGTAGTTCATGTTGTGACTAACATGACACCAGGAGAACATTACAACAGTAGTTCTCAGATAGCCACTCTGGCCTGACATGAAACCAAGGAGTGCTGCTGCTCTTTAAGGAACATCCACTCTGTTTCCTAAGGATGGCTACAGGAAGGTTTTTAAATAGAGCAGCTGTTGACTTCTCTTCCCTGTGACTGCTCAGCGTGAGAACAGACTTCCCCATGTCCTTCTTCCCTCTTCCTACAGAGCTATTACTCCCTCCCCTTACTCTGCACATTACTAAGAATATTGTAGCAATTAGCAGAATTGCCAATACTACCATTTAATGGAGGAATCTCACAGCTCCTGCGACAGGACAAAGGGAAATGGGCACAAACTGAATTTTTTCTGAATGTAAGAAAAACTGTGAGGGTGGTTTAACATTGGAATAGATTTCCCACAGGAGCTGTAGGGTCCCCTTCTTTGCAGGTATTCAAAAGCCATCTGGATATGCTCATGGCTAACCTGCTGCTGCGCTTGAGCAAGAGGCTCTGGGTAGATGACCTCAAAAAGAGTCTTCTCAAATCAGTGATTCTGTGGCTTTGTGTCTCTGCTACTAGAGTGAACACAAACCTGCCTAGGTATGCACACATGGAGATTTTAAGAACCAAGTTTTGAAACTAGACCAACTACTGCTGCTTCAGTTAAAGAGAGACTGAAGTCTAGCCCTAAAAAACTAAGAGGCATCTGGTTGCAAAGGCTATCAGAATATTAGACTGGCATAAATTCTAAATATCTATGAGACCATGGTAAAAAAGCCAAAAAAAACCCCAATCAAAGAAACTCAAGAGATTGGCATAAACATACAGTAGTTACAGAACTTACCAAAGACTTAGGCAGCTGTATGTTGTTTTTCCTTAGTTTCTTGCAGCCACAATATACTGTCGGTATTACCGTCAAGATCCCAATAACAACACACAGAATGATGATATCATGTGTACCTAAGAAGTTAAAGCAAAATCTACTAAGAATTTTGGAAAAACAAGCCTCTGCTGTATTATTTAGAATAATTTCAGAAATTTTAATAGCTCAGAGTGCTTAGCTGTTATGTGTGAATTTTTAAATCTACTATCTTTTTTCACTCAGAAAAACTTAATCCATAAGACTTTTATGGAGTAAATAAAAACTAGAATGACAGAAGCTTTTCAGATTATATAAACATAATCACATTTTTATAGAAACAAATGATTTTTGCAATTAATTTTTTGTTCCTTAGAGAAGACAGACGGAGATAATGAGATTTGTACACCTCCTATGTGATAGCATATTAACTGACATAACTACACAGAGTTTATGTACAATAAAAGTAAATTATCTTATCTTCCAAAACACAGAATTGTTAATTACTACAGTAGGACTCCACTAGCCTGATTCTCCTTAATGCCCTCCCTCATCCAGCTGCTCCTGTGTGTTCAAGAAAACTGCTTCTATCTATTTTATCTCTTTGCTGAAATTACAGACCATGAAGAAGTACAACCACAATGCCTGTAAGATGTTTAGAGATAAAAATTTGGGTCACTATTTGCTTTTCGTTCTCTTTAATTAAGAAAAAGACCGTAATATCTTAATTTCATGACCATAAGTTTATCGTTGCTTCCAGTTAAAAGTATATACGCATTACCCTCAATGATGAGGCTGAGCAAAAAGCCAGCTGCTAGAACAGACAATGCCTATGAAAACCATATAGCTCAGTGAATGATCCATTTGTGAATTTTTAATTACACCAGTGTTCATGTGCAACAGAAGTAGGTTTTGTAATATCAACACAGGAAAAACACCCCCCAAAAAATTCAGGGTTACTTGAAAATAATATACATAATAATAATGATTTGTAAAGGGCAGAACTGTCAAAGTGCATTTGGAAAAGACTGACTAAGCTTTCCCTATTTTTTCTATTCTCCCAAAGGCACCTCAAGCATCAAACACTTGCTAGAACAGATCTGTCTTCAGATTCAGTATGTTCTTAATATAGCATTTGAATCCTCTTACTCAGTGTCTGCCTGAGAGGAACAGGAGTGCAAATTTCCTCTGATGGAGTGCCAAATATCAGAAAATCAAAATTTGCTTTTGCTGAAACACAGTAAGTGGAACTTTCTGGAAGGATTGGAATTTTGAGGCTACACTTATGCATTGTACAGTTGTCATCTTCGAACTCTTCAGTCTGAAAAAAGAATGGAAGACATGTTATATCATTTGACTCACTAGAACAATGTTACAGCACCTTCCACTACTTCCAAAAATGTTACAACACTATTAGATGTGTTTCCCACGTCACTCATATACCTTGCAAAAGCTGTGTGACCACAGTACTGGCTACCTTAAGATGTTATATTTGATCATAGTATTTTCCAGCTAAAATTTCTGCTGTTTATAGTAGATATTCACAGTTATAAAACTTTCACTGGATGCATATGAAAAGCTAACTGTAAGTGAACACACCTGTCGTAATTTTCCTCGCCTTCACCCTCCATGATTGCTAAATAAACTGGTATAAATACCTTGAAAGGCAATTTTCTTAAAGGAAATGTCTCTTTAGACAAATGAGAGGGGCACAAGTTAAGTTACAAATATTTGCATGTATGCAGACACAGCAGCATGTGATCCAGTAACACCTATCTTGTGTACAGTTAATGTAATAATCTAATTTTTGTAGTAAGCACTCATTTGGACATCTAAAATACAGACCTTTGGCTCACATATCTCACTGTAATGGGCTCAGCATTTTAGGTGTTCAACTACCTATTAGTTCCATGTGTCATTTGTATAGACATTTAAGGTAAACAAGTGTTTTGAATTTTAACTGTTATTTCTGGAACCTACCTCATTTTTACTATTCCGAACAGTCACCAAGTAGCCAAGAGACGAATAAATGTCAATACAAGAAAGAGGGAATACAGGATGGTGAATATCAACCACGATTTCATCACCATGTCTTGAGATGTTCAGTTTTGGCGGTCCTATTTTTCCTGCAACACATTGCACCATTGCTATTAGGCCAAAACTTTTAACATAAAATACAGTATTTATTGTTAGCTTTCCAAAATTCATCAGAGATTTGAAAAGAATTACATCTTTATTTCCATGCTGTGAATATTGCATAGCTGTGGTAAGACCTCTCTGTTGCTTAGAAGTAATGGAGGCATTTGGATACATAAACTAATCAGCTTCTAAAATGGAAACAGATTGTGCATGATGAATTTCACTGTTAAGCAATTTCACTTTCCAACACAGATAAGATCATAAAAATTCAGCTGACAACAGAAAAAACTTACAGCAATTAAACATATACATGAATGAGAACCAAACACAAGATCCTGCTGACTAGACCCCACCATCAATCACCTCAGTTAAAAACAATACTACACTGAAACAAAGGCTATATGAAAAGCTAAACAAATCTCACCATGAGCATCCAAAGTTTCCAAACTTTGGATTTCCCATGGCAATGGCCTATGTGAATTTTTGCGTCTAATGGTCTGACTGAACACAAGTTTCTTGTTCAATGGGAAAAGGATTTTGTCTCTTTTCTCCATACATGGCTACCAGTTTTCTGGAAACTGTCACACTGAGCATTACTACCATGACTTGTGTCCTTTTGTCAAACTATAGAAACCAGACACTATTTCAAGCAATAGGACTCAAGTGCGAATGGAATCACAGCAGAAAGCAAAGAGGGACTCCACTCCTTCAGCTCCAGCAATGCAGAAATCCAGCTCTGGTTAAAGCATAGCCCAAGTCAGATAGAACCTCATGGGCCAGCTTCTCCCTGGAAGCTGTATGTTGGGAACAGTGCAAGCATGGTAAGAAGTCTCTCGGTCCTTCCTGACTGTTGCATTTCCTTTGCACTGCACATGTAGTGCCAGGGCCTGCCACATTGGACTGTAGACACAAAATTTACTTTTACAGTACTGATGTTGAAGTCTGATTTTTTCCAAAGCAGCCTGAAGGATTTACACGACAAACTAGTTACTTAGTTATCCAGTTACAGCTTTTAGTATTTCCTAGACACCTGAAGCTATCAGTACATGGCATTCTAGTGTCAAGCAATAAATGGCTACTTCAGTGATGCCTAAAGATCCATGTTGTCTGGTGACAGCTTCCTGCCCTAAACTGGTGTCTGGAACATGGGAAGGATTCAGAGTGCACCATCAGCATCATCTTCTTGCCTTTAGACATTTTGAAACCTACTCAGACACTCAGTAAGAGCTAGCAAGCACCATGAAGTTCCTACTAAGCAATCATCATGCTTCCTTTCATCCTGAACTCCTGGCTTTAAGGTATTCCCAAATGCAACGCAGTAACAGAGCAAAAGGAATAATTACTAATTCCCTAAATTTTTGGAAAAAATTACAAGGTTTAGTGTAGATACAACTTACCATGCTTTTGCAAAATAAACTCATTTGTCTCAACATATTCAGACTGTTCTGACCCAACAACAGCTTTAACTTTCAGCCAATGAGATGAATAAGGTTCACATATTTCCTCTGAGACATCACAAAAATGAGCTGAAGTGTTCACACAGGTTGAGACCTCCTTATATTCACCTAAACTGTAAAACAGAGCAAGTAATAATTAATACAATTTCAACAATTCTGTAAAATACACTGCCTGTAACAAAAAAACTGTGAGGGTGGCCAGGACCTGTGAGGGCACAAATTGCCCAGGGAGGTTGTGGAGTCTCCTCCCCCAGGGATATTCAAAGGCCAACTGGACATAATCATGGATGACCTGCTCAAGCAAGGGCTTTGGACCAGATGACCTCCAGAGATGCCTGCCAACCTCAACCATTCTATAACTTGACAAATTTTGCCTTAATTTACGCTTAAGCAACCTTCATCCTACATGGCTTTACCACACAGAAACAAGAGAATTTACCATGGACTGACTATTTTTATGTGCTTCTAGAGAATATCAGGTATAGGAAATAATGAAATAGTAAGAACTTACTTGTAAGGCTTGATTTCCACAATAAAATGAGGAGTTTCAGAAATAGGTGGGTACTGCCAATGCAAAACTGTTTTGAAATTTTCAGATGTTACTACAACTCCTGTTGGTGAAGGCACTAGAATGAAGAGAACAATTGCACTTTGATAAACAGACCTTTCAAACACAAGAATGTACTTCTAAATTATTTGGAAAAAGCAACATGGTAGACATGAACTTCATAAATACTTCCCCCAAATGAGCTTGTCTGTCAGCAGTAAAAACACCTACGAGCCCTGTAAGCTAATTAATACTCACCTCTCCTGCACAGACAGCTTTTGTCCTCCTTGCAACATCAGATCAACCATGCCCACTGAAAGCAAGTCCCTCAGACAGCCTGTATCAAGTCCATAAGCAGTGATGATTATACCCCTGTGTTGGTCTTTTACAAATATAACAGCAAGACAGGTTCTAACACTCAAGTTAGAGATTACCCCAGTTCTTGTAGATTTCTCTTGCTGTTCAGAAATTGAATTGGAATGGATGGGCTGGGAGATGGTACCAGAGCTGGAGTATCAAGGCCAAAATACAACAGGCCTCCTAGGGTAAGCCTGGATTCCCTATGACTTTCTAACTGATACCTCTATCACTCCAACAGTCTTTCCAGTAAGCTGCGATGCCCCAAATAAACTACAAACATTTGTAAGGAATTTGAACACTGAAGCTATAAAGTAGTTCCATTTGAAGGAATGCATCTGAAGCATACTTTAGCAAACAACATCAGAGGTAATGTAGTAAAGCAATCCAAAAATAAAAAGCAACACTGACAGTTTCCCATATGCAGCAAGTATCTGTTTCAAGCAGCAACCTCAAGAGGGCCATCAAGGGAGCAGCTGCAGGGGAAGGAATATTACAGGATCCTGTAAATGTTGAAGGCTGCCACATGACACTCAGGAAGAGAAGAGAAATTAAGGTCACCCAACTGAATTTAACTGTTTCAACTCAGCTTCTCGATGTCTGGTTTGGCACCCCTAGTATTCTAAATGTGGCTTTTACAAAATGCTGAGGGAACTCATATTAGACCTGCTCTTGTTCACAAAGCAAGTACTACAACTTCACTCTGTGATATATATTTAGGGAAAGTAAATAATTTTCACATCCTGAGAACAAGACCACAAATATAACACATTACTGAAAGCGATACATAGAAGCTGAGATATGCTATTGACAACCACAAAGGTTTGATTTAATATAGGTCATTCTGCAAGCAATACTGTGGTTTGTTTTAATAAGAGTGGTATTTCAGCTATTGGAAGAAGAGGAACATAATCATCAAATTCACAACCACAAGAAAAAAAAAGGTGACAAGTTGACAGAAAAGGTGTCAAGCACACAGACAGGCGAAAGCACATACACATTACTTCAAATATGCACTTTTAAGCCAGTGCAGCTAGCCTTACAAAATTTTAACTTTTGTGCACTGTTACACAAAAACACCTGCTTAACACAAGGCGTTGACTCCAGAGCACTGAAGGAGGTAGCAAATGTTACAGTAGGACCCCTCCACGATCTGCCTAAGGCTTGGGGAGGTCCCTGGTGACTAGTAGCTAGCAATGCACTGCCTAAAGCAAAACTTAATTCAATGAACTGGACCTTTCCAAGATGTAAAAATGCGACAGCCTTCAAAGCCTGATACTTGCATCTTGTGCAAGACTGAAATTCCTTCCCTCATTCTGGCATTACTGTACACACAGAGCGATTTGTCACCACTGCTTACACAAGCAGTGCAATAATGCTTACACAAGCAGTGCAGTAATGCACTTCACTGCTTACACAGTTGAAGTGCAATAATGCACGTAACAAAACAGGGCCTGATGAAACCACAACACAGAGTTTATGGTACAGCTATCTGAGACAACAGCAGCCCTAACAGCCATAAAAGTTCATTCAAGTCATATGTGACTTTTAAACATCATTTATGCACTGAAACACAGACTGAAAGCACAAACTGAAAGCTTGAAAAGACAAACTGTGGAAAAAATAACAAGTAAAAGTGTATTTTCAAAGTTTGCTCCTTTCATTTGTTTCTAACGGAAATCCAAAAATCTTTATATTCCCAAAGTGACACATCATAGGCTTATAAGCCACTTTAACAGGCCAAGGAGGACAACAGTTTGAACTTTGCCACAGTCACGGTTAACCTATCATTTAAAGACCTACAACTGCAATAGTACCCAGTCAGTCCCTTCTGGGCCCCTGACTGGGAGAAGCGTGCCTTCCCAGTGCCAGCCCTGTACTCTACCTACAGTTGAGTGTCAGCTCACAGATTCACAGAATATTCTGAGTTGGAAGGGACCCACAAGGACCACTGAATCTAAATCTTATGTAAGTGGCCCATAGGGGGACCTGAGCTCACATATCCACTTAAACTGCAGCCAGAAAGGGTAGGAGCTCCGAGGACTTCACAAATGCAAAAAAGTCACTCTCCATAGCTTTTGCCACCCATGAAAATGAAGAAAACGGAAAAAAGATCATATACATATGCATTACCTTTAAATGCTTCTGCAGTACTCTGCAGCCATATGCACTATAAAAAAACCCAAACAGAAAAAAGGTGGCAAAAAGGCAACCAATACTCTGAAAGATGGATTCAGAAGGCAGCAAGTCAATGCTAAGGATGAAAATAATACAAAAAAAAGAATTTCATCTATTTCTGAAGGCTGCATTTCCTTTTTTCTTTTTTTTTTGTGCTCCCCTTGGGATTCAAAGGGTTTGAGATAACAGACTTGACTGGGATGTACTAGACTGAATTTACAACTAAGTGCTGTTTAGCTCCTGTGGCTTGCCCTGAGGCTCGCTTTCCTGACTGTATATTCCTTTCCTGAGTGTATATTTGAGTCCAGTGCACCTTGCTCACTGCTCGCAGTACCGCTTATCACCACCCGTAGTGTGTCCGGGAACATTCCAGTAACAGCCATGGTGATACACAGGGACTGGCAAGAGGCCAGGGTATTGCTGCTTTCTTTGTTTTATCACACTCAGTAGAGAAAGTGGGGGGAAGAAGCTGGAAACATGGTTGGAGAGATGGTGTTTGTCTTCCCAAGTAACCCTTACCTGTGATGGGGCCCTGCTCTCCTGGAAACAGCTGAGCACCTGCCTGCCCATGGGAAGCAGTGGATGAATTCCTTGCTTTGTTTATGTGCAGAGCTTTTGCTTTCCCTGTTAAACTGTCTTTATATCAATCCATGAGTTCTCCAGCTTTTACCCTTCTATCCTCTCCCCAGTCCTGCTGGTAACAGAGCAAACAAACCTAGGGTTTTGTTAAACCTTGACAAAACAGTCCTCCTAATTATTTATATCCTCACTTCAATCTGTTCTAAATAAAAAAAAAAATGGCCTGCACTAAAAGCAGAGTGCAGCCATCTCCATCTGGGGGCTAGAGGAGAGTTAGGAGCACTGCCCAGCACTACAGCTCCAAAACTGGCAGGAAGAGGTCAGTGCTCGCCACAGGCGGCAGGAGCACCAAGCACGTGCCTTGGGGAGGAACGGGAAGTGTCTGTCAGAGCAGCGGCTCTGCCTTCTGCCACCTCCCCTTCGAGGCAGCACAGCTGGGTTAGCACAGCCCCCTCTGCGCCCTCTGCCAGGCCGGGCACTGAACACGTCCTGCTCCTGTCAGACTGCTGGAGGGAACCTGCCTGTTGGCTGTGCTTGGTTGGGAGCCTGGCAAGCACCCAGGAGCAAGGTAATGAAGAAATTTTGTACCTGCTAGCTGACTCTGGCTTTCTTTTAAGAGGCAGCAGCCACGAGGTGTATGTGAAAATGCTTGCATGTGTTTGCCTTGGACAACTTTCATTTATTCCTCCAAAAGTAACCCAGGACATGCATTTCTCTTGTAATGCCACTCCCATACCTGAGTGGTACTTCCTTAAAAAATTTACTGAAAACAAGCTTAAATTAATGTTTGTAAAACAATTTATGCAGAAGGTTCTACCAGAAGTTCTCGAAAGACCTCAAAGGCACAAAGGAATTGGTTTACAAATTAAATGAGTACCATGATGCGTAAAATTCAAAGCTAATGATTTTTTAAATAATTACTGGAATGAACTCAAGTATCGTGGATAAACATTATACATAGTAGACAGAGCATTTTTACAGTTTCTATTTACAACAGAATTTTATTTTCTAAGGGCTCAGAGGTTTGACACTGTTCTATGGAGTTTTTAAAATCATTGTTTACAATAAAAATCTCCACAAGGTTGTAAGCTGTACTAAAAGGAGAGGCAGACTGAGATCATCATCTTGAGAAAAACCACAGCAAGTTGCACAAGATGGACACTTAAAAAAACAGATGAAATAATACAAGCTAAATATTGTTTTATCTATTTTATGAGGGTCCATCCCTTTTGCTATAGCTGTAAAGTGTTGTAATAGATGATATCTAAATACAGCACTTTCTACCATCTAATTTGCTTTTGTTTACAGCTTGACAGTAAATTGATATGAATGTCAGTAATCTGAATCATAAAAAACAACAAGGCCACCATGATTATCACACACAACAGGAAGTCAGCTGCCTGAATGAACTACACACATCCTTGGAAATGTGGCTTACAATGTGCAGGAAGCACCTGAACTGCTGCCATAGCCTCTAAATCTTCTTCACCTCTAAATCTTCTTCACCACGGACCTTGTCCTCCAGGATACTAGACTGAGAGCTCCTATCAACAAGTGCCCAGCTCCAGCATGGAGTCAGAGGCCTATCAATGCAGGCACACAGGGCACCCAGCTGCAGGAAATGCAGGTGTTCCAACTGCTGCTGGGTTAGCTGGCCTTGTTCCTTTTCTAAGAAAACAGTGTCCTACAACGGAAGGTGAAGATGACTGAACATTTCCTCATTACACACTCAGCCTTAATATATGTATTACACTACTGGCACTTTGAAAGCCCTGTAAGATTTAAGGGGAAAAAAAATAATCATACAACTGTTGCCACGGAAATTCTGGGCTCCTCAGTACAGGAGACATGGAGCCCGTGGAGCAGGTTCAGCAGAGAGCTACAAACTGATCAAGGAATTGGGGCACCTCCATTATGAGGAAAGGCTGAGGGAGCTGGGCCTGTTTCATTAAGAGATAAACAAGAGGGGACTTCATCAATATCCACAAGTATCTGAAGCAGGAGTGAAAGGAGAGAGTGTCTCACTGATGCCAACAGAACAAGAGGCAACGGGCAGAAACTAATGCACAGAAACCTCCACCTGAATATGAGGCAGAACTTCCTTACTATGTGAGTAAGGAAGCACTGGAATAGATTGCCCAGAAAAGCTGTGGAGTCTCCCTTACTGGAAATACTCAAGAGGGAGATGCTATCATGGATGGTATCCTATGCCATGTGCCCTGGGAGGACCATGATGGAGCAGGAAAAGGCTGGACCACATGACCCATTGGGCTCACTTCCAACCTGACCCATTCTGCTATCCTATATGTGACAGCATCATAAACATGGTTCAGACTTCTCTTTCTACCTTAATTCTTCCCCTGTAGTTCAGCACATCTGCTTGCATCAATATTATAACAAAGTAAGTTATTAGTAATTACAAATAAAACCATGCTATACCATAGCACTACTCTCTGTGTTTACAGAGATAACTGTCGTGCTGGACTAGGCTGGATTATAGCAGGTTTGTTTGACAAGCGATTTACTGGTATTGTGCTTTTTACCCTAAAAATGTTTAATACAATGTAGAAGTGGCATATTTTACTAGCAATTAAAGCGTGCCCTTAAAAAGAGACTAAGTCAGAGCAAACAAGACAATATTTAACATATCGAGCTATCTTACTGATCCAATGGAGGAAAAAGATAGTATACCTGCAAAGTTCAGCAGTCATAATCAGACACCAAGTCAAATGAAGTGGATATTCAAAATGCAAACTATTAAGGGACAATAATGAAGGCAGATTATTATTTTTAGCACCACCAGTCCATATCAGAAAAAGCTAAGCAGACTTCCAAAGCATGGTGTGGCCCATGCTCAGGGGCAACCAAGTTCAGTCACTTCACCAGGGCATGGATCTGAACTCCAAGAAATCTCCATTTGCAGAATCCAAGCAACCTGGGCACACAGCCAGCTCTCAGCAGTCTCAATAAAAACTAAATGCACGTTCCCTTTCGACTACTAGACAGCAACCTCTGTTTTTAATTAACTTTTACAGTTTAAAATGAAACTACTAACCCCATTTTTTCCGTAATTTACTTGCCGGGCAAACAGAGAGAACACTGCTCTCCGGTGGCAAGCCATCCCTCCCCAGGAGCGCTTGGCCAACATGTGCGTGTCCCAGGCCGCGACTCCGATACCTTCTTTACACTCCCCAGCCCTGTGCTCCCCATTTTCGACCCGAATTTCCCAGTTTCTCTACTCTGTACACGTGAAGCCATAAAGTACAGCGGAGCAGGCCGGTCCGACGCACACGCCGCTCCAGCTGGGCGAGCCAAAATGCGCGAACAGCCGAGACAAGGCTGATGTCACCAGCGCACCGCCAGACGGCCTCCGGGGCCAGCCTGAGCCGCGCACCTACCGAGCTCGGCCGGGCCCCTCGGCAGGAGCACGGCACAGCCCCGGGCAGCGGGGGCTCCTCCCGCCGCCGCCGCCGCCCGCCCGCACCGCCCCGACGGCTCCCTGCGCCCGCAGCGGCCGGCGGCAGCGACGCGGGGCCGGCGGCTCCACCGGCGGCGCTCGGTCCGGAGGGTGCCAGGGCACGGCCGGTGCCGGTGCCAGCGCCCCGCAGGCGACACGTGCCGCCCATCAGCCGGTCGGCCTGCCCGGGCCGCCCCATCTCCCCGTCCCGCCCCGCCCGTTACCTGCGGGCGGCTGCTCCCCTTGGGAAGCCGCGCTCCGGCGGGGCGCCAGCAGCGCCGCTACAGCCAGGAGGGACAGCGGCACCCGCATGGCGCCCGGCGGGGACCGAGCGGAGGCCGCCGCCCCGCACACAGAGCCCCGCGGCGCTCCCACGCCTGCTCCCGCCCCGCTCCGCTGCGGCGCCTGCGCCGAGCAGGAAGGGGCGGGATGCCCGGCAGTGATAGTGCGGGGGCGGGCGGCGGCCTGGAGGTCACAGCCGGGCAGCGGCCGGGGGGCGCCGGGGGAAGGGGAGGAGGGGACCCGGGGACGCCACGGAAGCGTGCGTTGGCGGCTGCGGCGGCCCCGGCCCCGGCCCCGGCAATGAGGAAGATGTTGTGCTCCGATAGGCCTTTGCTGGCTTTGTCAATGCTCTGTTTGAAGTGCTCCTGCTGGGCCATACCTGCCAGCCCCAGCCGCCTGGAAAGCACCGTCCAGTTCGACATGTTGCAGCTTGTGCTCGCTCCCCGTTTCTTAAAAAACACGAGATGTTCACTCTGCAGAGTGTTCCAGAAACAGCACACTGAACTCATACACGTAGAGGAATCCTAACTTACACTGGCAGGCTTTATTTTTTCTTGGAAATAACCTAAATGTATGTGCAAAACATTGAAGTTTGCTGAGCGAGATGCAGACTGCAGTTTTTGCCATCTTGCTGTTCCTGTGTATCCCATCCAGTGTCCCAATGCCAGGTGATTGTGTGCTTTAACCTTTTAAAGTCAAGGCCACCCTGGGCCAGATGAGTAGAAGGACACAGAAGAACCCTCCTCTGCTGCATGCCTCTGCAGCTGTGATGTTGATGTAGCAACTATATAAACTCTTGTCAGTGATTTTGCAAATTGTGCTTTTTTCAGACCTTAAATGGAGGCCCCTTGGTGGATCCTTGGCATCCACACGTTTTCTCAGGCTTTCAAGGAGACAGGAAGGAGGAAACGGAGCTACTTGTCAGAGCCATTACGCTTCCCCTTTCCTGTACCTCTCTTTGAAACAGTTCAGCTGCTCTCTCATCTTTATTTCCTGTCCCAAGCATTAGTTCACTCCCTAGGGAAAGGTGTGGAGAAATTGATTTTCTTGCCATCTAAAATCCACACTGGAAAAGCTCAGGAGACAGCACAATTTGCTGTGTTGGAAGGAATGGAATGAATAGCAAGGAGAGAGGAGGTCACAAGCTAGCAATGGAGGCTGAGGGAAGCACCTCACTGTTATGGCCTCAGAAATCAGGTGTTCCCAGAGATGATGAAGTGGTGCTGTGGAGTGTAGGATCAGTGTGGGGTGCAGAGCTAACGTCTCCTCCCGTCTGTGCTAAGGTTAAAGAAAATGGATTGTGAAACTACACTGACTTTGTCTAGCAAACAATTCTCATAGACTGACCTTTGTGCTTAATGCAACAGCAAGCTTTTTACAACCAGCAAGCACTGAATTGCCTTTACTGAAGTACTGAGCACTCACTGGCACATGGATTTCAACTGCCTGAATTAGGTCATGCTTGCATGGTATTTTCTGGCACATAATGACAGGATGAGAAGAAAACGGCCTCACATTGTGGCACAGGAAGTTTGGATTAGATATTGGGAAAGAATTCTACATCATTGCAGTTGCCAAACATTAGAACACGGCTTCCCAGGGAAGTGGTTGAGTCACTATCCCTGGATAAAACAAGCGCATGTGGCACATTTAGAGACAGGGTTTAGTGATGGACTTAGCAATGTTTCAATAACAGCTGGATTTGGTGATGGTAACAGTTTTTTCCAACCTACATGATTTTGTGATTGAAATTATATTCTACACAAAACTAAGTAAGAACAAGGCATCACCAGCCCTGGATAGAGTTCAGGTGTTCTGACACTTGTATCAAACGCTGACAGTGTACCTAAGGGGGCTGTCACATAAACAGAGCTTGATAAGGTTGTGTGTGTTTTATGTAAATACTTAGAGACTGGAAAAAACATGAAAGGGGAAATAAATGAATAAAAATTAAGCCAGCTCTGTATGGAGAAAGTAAATATGATTCCACTTATGAGAGCTTTTCCTGGGGTACCCACTGCCTGTGCCACCAGAACCATGTACACAGCTCCTGGCAGGGGGTGTTCTTAACTGTGCAGTCAGTGTAGTCTATCACCACCAAAACATTGCCAACTTGCTCAAATTTATCCTTGTCTTAAAGTGCTACACATTGGGGAAAAAAGAAAATTGGCTAATATGTAAACTGTCTTGTAACTTCCTCCTTTGCTCTTCACACTCTCAGCCCAAGTGTTTGTCATGTGCCTCTCTGCCAGTAAAGGTCCTGACAAGATAAACAAGTTCACACATCATGGGACAAATTTTCACAGCCTTTTTGCATGCTTGTTTGTTTGCTTATTTGTTTTCTTAGCTATCCCTTAGTTGTGTCACAAGGTTACTGTGCCTCCACGTGCACCTGCAGGAGCCCTCCATGTAGTTTTGCCATCCTTGAAGAAGTAGGTACAGGATTTTCACCTCACTTAGACTTAAATGCCTGCTGCTTTGATTCAATATCACAGTCATAGCACCACATTTTCTTTAAATGCTATCATAAAGAGAAATCTCAGACACAGAGAAGCTATGTCTAACCAGAACTTCCCCTAGTGATTAAAAGCACTAGCTGTGCTCGCCCTCCAAAGGTAAAAGCAATTAAACTCATACACAGCCCCAAAAGAAATAAAATTTAAAAGTGCTCATCTGTGATCATTTCCCTTCTATACATCCCATTAATCTGTTGGGAAGTTTAGTAATCTTCACATGTATGCTTACAGTAAAAATACTGTGTACATGAGTATTTTTACAATACAGTAAAAATACACATTTGATCTTCCAGGACCATTGTTCCTAACTCTTCAGCAGTCATTTCAAATGCATGCCCAATTTTATTTTCCTTGGCTATCCATTCTTTCTAAATTCACAGTTCCAGGAAACAGAGAACTCCATTGGAGCTCCCTTTATTTTAATTTTAAAGTATTTTTAAAAAGATTTTCCAGTTAGACAAAGGAATGCAATACATTCTCCTTGGCAACAACCATAAGATCTTGATATCTGACTAACTGTGCAACGGCTGTAGAGTGCTGAGCCAAACAGGAGGTATCTGACTCACACTGGCCACTTAAAGTGCTGGTTTTGCACAGTGAAGGTATCGTGGAGCACACAGAGTGAGCATGGAGCTTGGGAATCAGCAACATCAATCCCTAGGAAAGCAGGCTTCATTCATTCTGCTGTTCATGGAAAGTTTTGTTATGGGAATAGGTGTTTGTTGAAGCAAGCTCTGTGATCTGGAAGGGGAGGAGACCAAATAAACAGTAACTGGAATGAGTCGCAGAGGTAGGAGGTGAAGTCAAATAGATGAAGCAATATATTGAAGTGCCAGTGTGTGTACTGATACCAGCCAAGCTTTCATTCTTTTCCACAAGCACCCCAAGAGAATTAGACAACCATTGCAATAGGTGTCCTGCAGTTGAATAGGAACAGGAAGGGGAAAATAAGGATCTTCAGTTACTCATTGGAGCACAATGTTAAGCTGTTACCCTTGGGTGAAGTTGAGATGGAGTAGGGATCAGTTCAGGATCTCACAGGGAAAGGGATTATTCCTAATCAGGGCATGGTTGGGCTTTTCCAGGAACATAAGAGATCTTCGTGGAGAAAACTCAGATGGCAGAGACTTACAGAGACGCCTACTTTTCCAAATTTATCAACATTTTTTTTTTGTTACCTTGGCCATTTATTAGATGTAATTTGTTTGGCTTATGCTTCTGTTGTTTGAAAATAACAAAAGGATATTTGATAAATTAGTGGTGGGTCAGCAAACTGTCACTTCAGCTGAAGCTAGAACAGACACCTGGTCTTTATTCTATCTAATGAATTATTGTGTTGGGAGACTTGCTGCAATTGAACTGTGAAATAATTAATAGAATATGAAAAATGTTATCAGATACTGTTTATTTATTAGCAGCAGGCTAATAAATTATAAATGTGTTGAATCCAGTAGAGAGGGAAACAGCAACTCTGGCACTTGAGGAAGCAGATATTTTCTGCAGCAGTGCACTGGACTGTCCATGTCTGTGCAAAAAGGATGTTGCAGTCAGGAAAAGGGACTGAAAGGAGCTATTCTGATCAACAGTTGAAAATGGGTATTCTGAGGAGAGGCTGAAAGTGCTTATCTTGTCTAGTCTGGTAAAAGAAAAAGCTAAAACAGAAACATCTCCACTCTGCAAATATGTTCATAGTTTTTAAACCAAAAAGTAAAGTTTAAACATAATCATGAAATACAGAATGTTCCTGACTGAATTAAGGCTAAAAATTACAAGAAAGTTTCTGATTTTCATGAGATTAGACCTTGGAACAGCTTCAGACTAAAATTAATGGGAGTAAAAATCTAGTTAAGTGTAATAAAGTTTGTTTATATTATAAATAATTATTAAAGAATAGTTATTAAAGACTATTTTGCCAGAAAAGGGTTCTGGTAATCTCTCTAGATTATGAGTACACTGAAGAATGTGTATAAATATTAGCTGCTAAGAGTATTGTATTTTAGAGCTTGTTTTTCTTGTAAAGTGTATTATTGACAGCCTCCAAACCTTTCATTTTTAAAGTTGTAGACAAAAAGCAAACTACATCGCCATGAAAGAAAAAAGTTCTTCTGACTATACTTTGAAATAGTGCCAAAAGAGAAATAAAACCTGGTAAAAGAAAAAAAAAGAGCACTTGATTTAATGAGAAGTCTTTCTGATTTCTACTGGACATGTGTAAGCATACTGAAACAAAATGCCCTGCAGAGCTGCACACAGACTGGCACAATTCTGACATAGTAAGATCAATAAAGGGATGGCATGTCTCATTACATCAAATAAGAAGTCACTTGTTAAAAGGAAAATTGTCAAGACTGGTTTAGATTGTGGAATTGTGCCTGAGACTGATCTGTAACAAACTTACACAGGGCACTGTAGAACATAAGTAGAACATAATTGCTACTCAACAAACAGGCAGCTAACCAAGCGTTTAGTAGTATTTGTGATTTTGTTTTTCTGATTTTTTCCTGAGAAAAAGACTTTCCTAAACTTTTCTACAGTTGTTTTTGGTTTGCTGAAGAACAGCACAAATTTTGTGGTGGTTTTCT